TTACACCACCAGAGGCAGACTTAGAAAAATGTATGGTTCATCCTATGTCTAGATCCAATGAAGGACCACAACCTCCTCCATGGCTGCCCAGTTCTCCCATCCAGAAGGATACTTGAAAATATTTTCAAGAGGTGCACCCATTAAATTGGCCCCACAAAGAATCAAGGCTGGGTCGGGGCAGCCTACTTGGGCTTCTGTGTTCTATCCAGGTGGATTCTGGTCTCTAGAGGGGATCTCAGCAAACTTCTGAGGGAAGACCTTCTAACACATGTAGAATTAAGGTCTTGCTGAGATGTTCTTCTCAGACCTTTCAAGCTAACAGAAGCTGGACCCTACCACCCACCCCAGGGGGACTTAGAAATGTTTTTGGGAAGTGCCGCCTAAGACCAAGCATCTCTTAGCCGGCCAGTTCTGGCAGGGTCTTGCCTTTGGAGTTAGAATGTTTTGGAGAAGGCACACCCAGTGACAGGGTTTCACCACCATTAGGCCTTTTTTGCCAGCTCAGACTTGTGTTCCCTTCTGAAATATTTTTGTTACGTTCATACAACAAGTGGATCCACAAGGACTGTGGCTTGACACAGAGCACCTTCTCCTGGGTTCCTTGTGTCGTCAGGGTTGGTCCCAAACTATGAGGGGAACTTTACCTGTCATAACCATGGACTGATGGTGTGGCAATGCAAATCAGCACTGGACTGTGAACCACAAGGTCAGCAGTTCAAACCCACCAGCTGATTCTTTGAAACCCTATATGGGGTTGCTATGAGTCAGAACCAACTCAACGGCACTTAACAACAGCCATAATCACGTCCTACGTGGGACCACAGAACGTTGTACAGTGGCCTTCCCAGGTCTCCCTGGCTGGTCCATGTCAATCCTCCGCACAGACAGCAGACTCAGGGACTGCTTCCTGTGACAGGCCCTCCTACAGGACAGTGACCACCAGAGGGCACTATCCCTGGGTCCCTGGGTCAGCCCTAGCTGCTCTCAGCTTCTATTGGAAAACACAGAGACCTTTTCGGTGTCCCAATGCTCTGGTAGCATAGTGGTTACGAATAAGGCTGTGGGCTGCTTCGCAGGAGAAAGATGAGGTTTTCTGCTCCCGTAAAGATTTATAGCCTCGGAAACCCTGTTCAGGGTCGCTATAGGTCGAAACCGACTCGATGGCACTTAACAACAACAATGCTCAGAACCCACAAGGTTCAGCAGCATCTGGGTCTGGGGCACCCTCTATAGGCCTCCCTATCCAGCCCAGGATGAAGATTTGAAGGGTACATATCTGACAATTAGACCCAAGGTGAGGCTTGCCACCTGGCCTGCTTCACTCCCACTACCAACAGGGTGTTTTTTGTTGTTGTTGTTATATTAATAATTGGGTGGGTGCCTCCTATGACTTGGGCCAAAGTTTGGTACCTTGCCTTTACATGATATGGCTTTTCTATCCAATATCTTCTTAATTCTCATCAAGTGATTGAGTGGGACCACAAAAGTAAGGTGTACAGGACTCTACGGCTGGGATTGGTCGGTTTTGCCATCCCCACGAGATTTAAAAGGAACCACTTCAGAAGCAGGAACAGATAGTCAATCCCAGGACCATCAAGAAACAAGAACACGAGTGAAGTGTGAGATCCCTACCTAGGAAAGCGCTGACAGCAGAGGTGACAGTAGAGGGGGTAGCATGGAAAGACAGAACAGCTGAGGGCCCTAGGCCCATGGACTGAGTAAAACTGAGTGCCTATGGGCAGGAGGCTGGTTCGCAGTTTTGGGCATTCACAGACTGGCAAAAAGAACTTTGTAACATTTGCCCAAGCAGGGTAGAGGCCAAGGATGATGAAGCCAAAGACAAAAGTGAGGTGAGCCTACAGTACGGCAGAGAAAAGTCTGCATTCTGAGTTGGCTTAGATCCTGAATTGTAACCTGTTCTCTTGCCTAATAAACCCCATAATCATGAGAATTGTTATGAGTTCTGTGTAGCCATAGCAGTGGACTGTCAAATCCAGATGTGAAGCGGAGAGTGTTGTGGGAAGGATGGTTGGTGTCAGAATAGGACAAAGAGGGTTCTAGGCTGGAGGCACATCTGACCTCCGCTTCATAGGAATTGGCCCTGGTCTGATTTTAGGTTTCATTCTCTTCCCCTCTTGTGAAGCCACACGAAATCAGACATGGTTCCCACATAGTTTTAATACAAAGGATTGTTGACAAGTTGGGGCCTCCTCCTCCCAGACTTCTCTGATCAGTTCCACTGGTACTCACCTCTGGATGAAGACTTTTTTTATGTTCAGAAGGTGTATCAAGCAACCAGGTATTAAGCAGGGTCATAACTAGACTGGGGGACCTCCGTGGGCCTCTGGACCTCCTGGAGGGCCCCTCTCTTTAGAGGAAGACTGAACATCTGCCACCCGGGCCACACGGGTCACTGCAACCAGGGCAGGGCACCCTCCCCAGGCGATCCCAGCTGACCTGGGCTCATGCCTTGCTTCCCACTCTGGCAGAGGATTTAGGAATGTTTGTGGAGATACGTATATTTGGATGTGTGAGCACTCCACTGGTTCTATTGCTTGGCCCAGTCTAGTTCCGACCACAGAAATGGAATTTAGAAACTGTTTCAAGCAGAGATGCTAACAACTGAGTCCACATGGGATCTTGGGCAGGCCTAAGTTACTATCCCCAAGCCTCCCTGTCAGCCAAGTCCAATCCCCTCACTGGCCAAACCAAACGCAACCCACTGTCGTCAAGTCAGTATCAACTCATACCGACCCTGCAGGACAGAGTTCTATATTACAATGTTCTCAGTGATAGGATAATATCCATATACCCACAGGATGGCTAGTTAAAACAACTACTATTCAAATTTATGAACCAACCATTAACGCCAAGATGAAGAAATGGAAGATTTCCACCAACTTCTTCAGTATGAAATTGATCAAACATGCAATGATAATTATCATTATCAAGATGCAATGATAATTACAGATGACTGGAATGCTAAAATTGTTAACAAAAAAAAGGATCAGCAGTTGGAAAACATGGCCTTGGGGATAGAAACAGTACTGGAGATCTCTTGATAGAATTTTGCAAGACCAACAACAATCATTCCAAATACCTTGTTTCCAACAACTGAAATGACTACTATACACTTGGAGTGGACCTTGTTAGATAGAATTCACAGGAATGTAACCAACTACATCTGTGGAAAGAAATGATGCAGAAGCTCAATATCATCGGTTACAATCACACCAGGGGCCGACTGTGGAGCAGAGCATCATTTGCTCTTATTCAAATTGAAGTGGAAGGAAATTAAAACAAGGCCACCATGGCTAAAGTAGTATCTTGGGTACATCCCACCTAAATTTAAAGACCATCTCAAGAATATATTTGAAGCATTAGACACTAAGGACCAAACATCAGACAAGTTGTAGGATGACAGATCAAGGCGATTCAAACATGAAGAAAACAAAAGGTCATTAAAATGACAAGAAAGAAAAAAAAGACCAAAATGGATGTCAGCAGAGGCTTTGTAACTTGCCATTGAAAGTAGAATAATAAAGAAAATGGAAGTAAAATTGCTGAACAGAAGATTTCAAAGGGTGGCTCAAGAGGACAAAGTAAAATATTATAATAAAATGTGCAAAGACCTGGAGTTACAAAACAAAAAGAGAAAAAAATGTTCTTCTCAAACTGAAGAAATGAAGAAAAAAATTCATGTCATGAGTTGAAAAACTGGAAGGATTCTATGGATAAAACATTAAAGACAAAGGAATCATCCAAAGAATCAAAGGAATGCAGAGTCACTGTATCAAAATAAATAAATAAATAAAAAGATCAATGTTCAACCATTTCAGGAGGTAGCATATAATCAGGTACAGACAGTATTGAAGGAAGAAGTCAAAGCTACACTGAAGGCATTGGCGAAAAACAAAACTCCAGGAATGGATGGAGTACCAATCAAAATATTTCAACAAATGGATGCAGCATCGGAGGTGTTCACTTACCTATGCCAAGAAATGAGAAGACAGTTGACTGGATCCAGTGCAAAGAAAGGTGATCTAACAAAATGTGGAATTATCAAGTCATATAACTGATATCATATAAAAGTAAAATTGTGCTAAAGATAATTAAAAAATGGTTACAACATGATACCAACTGGGTACTGCCAGAAATTCAAGCAGGATTCAGAAGAGGATGTAGAATGAGAAATATCTTTGCTGATGTCAGATGGATCTTGGCAGAAAGTAGATGTGTTTTATTGATTATGCGAAGGCATACAACTGTGTGGTACATAACTATGAACAACACTATGTCACATGGAAATTCCATAATACTTCATTGTGCTCATGCAGAACCTGTACAAAGAACAACAGGCAGTCATTTCAACAGAACACGGGGATACGGTGTGGTTTGGAATCTGAAAGCGTTGTATCCTTTCACCACTTATTCAATCTGTATGCTGTATGCTAGATAAATAACGTGAGAAGCTGGACAAATAACGTGAGAAGCTGGACACACCATCAGGATTGAAGGAAGGCTCATTAACAACCTGCACCATGTAACTTTGCTGTTGAAAATTAAGAGGTCTTGGAGTACTTACTGATGAAGATCAAAGACTACAGCTTTCAGTATGAATCATACCTGAACATAAAACAAAAATCTTCACATCTGGATCAATAAGCAACAGCATGATAAACAGTGAAAAGATTGAAGTTGTCAGGGATTTCATTTTACTTCATTCCACATTCAACACCCACGGAAGCAGCAGGCAAGAAATCAAATGACATATTGCATTGGGCAACTCTGCTGCTAAAGATCTCTTCAAAGTGTTAAAGAGCAAAGATGGGGCTCTGGATACTAAGGTACCTCTGACCCAAGCCACCCCAAACAACCACACTCAGTCACACCTCAACCTGGATCCTGGTGGTGACATTTTAATGGCTTTTGTTGGTGCCCGCAGCATCAAAAGAACAAGGGGGAAAGTCTCCCCCATCCCTGGAGGAGGAGACTAAGGCTCAGAAGGGAGCATGCCAGCGAGTCTGGATATCCTCCTCCCATTGAACAGAAGCCAGGAAGGTGCGGATTTCCATGGGCTTCAGTGTAATGGCGGCAGGATCCAGCAAGGAGGGCACAGTTTTGGTTGCATGGCCTGGGGGGCAAGGGAAGAGAAAGAATGAGGGGAAGCATACCTTCTTCTGCCTCACCTCACAGTGCTCCTAGCCTAGGCCTGGGCACAGCCATAAACCCTGAAAGCTTCCCCTGGAGCCTTAACATCACCTCCAAATTCCCAGATGGCTGACCAGCACTCTCACACCATCAAACCCCATCTCTGGGATCATTAGACCTACCCCTTTGGTGATGAGGGCCTGGGCATGTCATCATAATGTGCTCCCAGAACTAGACATTGATCCCAGATTCCCAAATCTTGTTCTGAGTACAGAATCCCATTCTCAAACCCTGAAAACCCTTTGCTCATTTGCTGGACTCATTTAGACCCTGAAGCCCCTAACCTAGATCTTGACACTCCCCAGGACCCTCATGTTCTTTTCTGGATCCTGGCCAATATTCCCAATGGTCAAAATTGTCCCAGTTCCCACCCCAGGCAGACCACCACACCTGTTTTCTGCATCCACTGGAGCCTAGTGGCACCGTCCCGAGGCTGGTTGGCCGCCAGCGTGGTCTCCTGAAGGTGGGTGATGGTGAAGGTGGTGAACAGGTCCTGCGGGCAGAGGATGGGCCTGCTAAGTAGGGGCAAAGCAGAGTTTCCTTGTCTCCTTTCTAGCCCCCTTCCCGCCTGTGCTCACTCGTAAGTCCAAGGTCACAGGGGAGCTCAGGTTGCGATCCTCTCCAGCGGCGAACTGATGCTCCAAGCGCAGCAACAGCATCCCGGGTCCCCAGCGAGCTAGTGTGAGTAGGTGCACTGCCGGAGGCAGCTCCCGGCGTAAGGCAGAGAACTGCAAGAAAGGATGCGGCAAGGCCCGGGCGGGAGAGGAGTTGAGCTGAGTGGGAGGGACAGAACCAAGCCTGGGTTGATTAGTGGATGAGAGGGGTGGGGCTGAAGTTAAAAGAGGCGGGCCCAAGGTGAGAAGGAGGTGAAGAGGGATGAGCCAAACGGTTTAGGGCTGGGTCAAGGGACCAGCTTACGGTCTCCCCTTGACAACCTAAAGGAGAGCAAAATGATCCCAGCAGCCAATCATCAAGATTTATTCGCGTCCTCTGGATCAATGAATCGGCTGCCCCTTACCTGCATTCGTGGAGTGATCCCCAGGTGATAGGGGGCGCCACCTCCCAGAGACAACACTATCTGCGGGGCTAGGGCCTCCTTTTCCGCCAGCAGGCGGTGCCCAGTGGCTGCAGCCCGGACACTGTCCAGCAGCACGAGGTGACGGCCTCGCACCCACAGCCCTGGCCCCTGCCCATCGGGGCCGGCCTCCTGCAGAGGCTCCCCTACTCCACGGGCATCATCTATAAGCAGTCTTCGGTGTACCTGAAGGGAGAGCAGCCAGGACAGGGTAGGGGTTCAGGAGGAGTCCCTAGCCCAGAAATTGGCTAAGGGCTTGTGGGAGAGCCTGAGTCAAGAGAAATTATAGGGTAAGGGGAATAGATGAGGATGAAGGTGAGAGTCTGGTAGGGAAGGAGTGAAAGGAGAAAAATAAGTCCCTAACAGGGGTGCCTTGTTGTTGTTGTTGTTAAGTGCCATCGAGTCGGTTCCGACCCATAGCGACCCTGTAACAGGGTTTCCGAGGGTGTAAATCTTTACGGGAGTAGAAAGCCTTATCTTTCTCCCGTGGAGCGGCTGGTAGTTTCGAACCGCTGACCTTATGGTTCACAGCCCGATTCGTAACCACTACGCTACCAGAGCTCCCTGGAAAGGGGCCCTGAGTACCGATTGGATAAAAGTCTTGAATAGGAATGGGGGGGGGAGGGGTCTTAGTTTAGTGGGGACTACAAACCATGGGGCACACCTAGCTGAGAAGTGGGTCATAAGAGGCTTCATGTCCAGCAGGAGTTAAGAACTAGATGAAGGACTGGCTTGGGCAGGGCTATAACCCACTCACCATGAGCTCCAGGGAGCCATCGCTCAGGCTGCTGCCCCCCTGGGAGCGGTCAGTCAGCACCGTCAGCTGCACGTTTCCATCCTGGGGGTGGTGAGAGGTCAGGGTGAGGGATAACACTGCAAAGCAGACCCCATGGAGCAGGCACATGCAGGTCTCACGGGGGATAATGACTGCTGAGGACATTTGAGCAGTATGGAGGATGCAGGGTGATTCTGTCTCTGGAGAAGGGGGACAGGAAGGGTGGGGGCAGGCTGGAGGGAATACCGTGATGTAAATGCGACTGTTGACCGGGTAGTAGTTTCCAGCCACTGGTTCAGTCTGACTCAAATTCCAGGTGGGCCGATAATCCCGCCTGAAAATGGGAGTGATTGGTCAGGACTGGGGTCTGGTTCCCCTTCCCCTGTTCACCTACTTCACTCGCCCCTTCACTTTCTCCCTCCTATCCTAAGATGATAAGCAAATGCTCCCACCCCCTGGGCCCCAACACACCACAGACCAGGCCAGGCTCTCAGGGTCCCCAGCCACCCCCACCTTCTCTCCAGGATCTCTCGGCCGTTGCTGTCTGTGTAGAAGCGCCCATTTGTCTCCAATGTTGTGTCAAAGCGGCTGATGACCTCCTTCCCCCAGCCATCACTGCACCAATGGGAAGACAGGATTGTGAGCCTCACCTAAAGGCCACCCTGGCCTTGCCCCCACCTCATCCTAATCAGTACACTCACACGACAGGTATTGGCCCCACTGTCCACTCCAACTCCAGGTGCCTCTGTCCTGGGTACAGGCGAACCACTTGGGAACACCAAGATGAGAAGTTCTGATGCATCTCCTGCACCAAGGCTGTCTGCACACACGTGGGGTGGGGTTGGGTGGAGTGTGAATATGAACCCACATGTGAGCAAATGTCTACCTTGCCATGAACCCCACAAATGCTTAAGGGTCAGCCCCAGTAACAAACAACATGGCTATCCCACTCACCTCCCTCACCTGCCTAGTCACGGCTACCTAATTCTTAAGGGTGGCACACATATTTAACCAACATTACCCACATATCCTTACGCAGTATCAAAAGTCTAACTTAGCACATGTCTACATAGTGTACACTGCAATTTCTGGTATTCCCTGAAGCTATGAGAAGCTGTTTGGTATCATGTTTGGTAAAGTGAGGGTCAGACCAAAAGAGAAAGATCCCCAATGAGATGGATTGGCACAGTGGCAGCAGCAATGAGCTCAAGCGTAGCAATGATTGTGAGGCACTGTTGCATTCTGTTGTGCATAGGATCGCTATGAGTTGGTACCGACTCGATGGCACCTAACAACAACAAATGAGAAGTTGCGTGGCCAGTCTACCCATTAGGAAGTTTTCAAAGTATAGAAGTATGAATAGCTCTCCTGGACACTTTTCCTCTTTCACTGGCTCAAATGCAGATGTGATGGCTAGAGGTGGAGCAACCATCTGGGATGAGGTGAAAGCTGAATGTTGAAGAAGGCAAAGCAACAAGATAGAAGGAGCCTGGCTGACTGTGAAGCCGCCTCGCCTGGTTTGGACTGCTCAACCAGACTTGATATTAGAGCAAAAGAACAGTCAATTGATATAATTCTGTTACAACAGGCAAACTGTGCCCTAATACAGTGACTCAGGTATGCAGACTCTCACCTCAAGGGGAAGTGAGGAAACGCTGACTACATGTCTTTACACACTTGTGAAATAAGTTATCTTCCCAACCAGATGTACCTTCATACATGTACCCTAAGTGAGATTTGCCTAAGTGTGAATTCTCAAATACCTACTCCACATATGAAGTCCTCATACCACAGATTCTTGGTGAAATTGAAACAGTTACAACTGGCCCTTCCCCATTATGGACCAAGTGGGAACACTCTACCCCCAATTGTCAAAGCTAAGTATAATACTTTCAGGATGTGCTTCCTCCAGCACGTACAGACGTAAACACTAGTCCATATGAGGACCTTCAAATAGTACCCTCAGACCTCCGTCCTTTTATCTGATGAGAGATGCAACTTCTTTTCCCCATCTTATCCTACCTCATACACATGGTTTACTCTCCTCCCAGGCTTCCTCACACCCCACACCTAATCCCCAAGCTTCCACTACCACCACGTCCCCACTCATCATTCCAGGCCCCAGACCTTGACCAGGCGAGTCTCAGCCCAGTGTCTCACGGGTAGTGGTTCTCGTTGGTTGGGTCTGAAGATGTAGGCACCTGAAACCTGGGAGCTTTCGTTGTTGCCTGTACTGGCATTGTACCTGAGGCCAAAGCAGACAAGAGTCAGCTTAGGAGCCCCAGGGGTCCATTCACATCTCCTCCCTATCCTGGTGATGGTGATTCTCCCTCACCAGAAGAAAGCCTGGCGAACAGGAAGCTGTAGGTTCTGTTCCAGATTCTCAATCTCCATCAAAAGCCCAGTGTCAGGGTTGAATGAAGCACGGATGTACTGACCAGAGAAATAGACAGATGTTAATAACCACATAGTACAGCTTCATCCTCCCACTCCTAGTCTGTTCCCTACCCCCACAGTGGCCAGAGGGCAACTACTAAATCCTATCACGGTCCTCCTTTACTTGAGACCAGGGCTGATTCTGTACCAGACACAGGAGACTCAGTGCCTAGGGCCCAGGAGACTTTGGAGTTCACAGAAAGACTTTAATTGTAATCACTATTAAAGGACCTCTGGTAGTGTAGTGGTTATGAATCGGGCTGTGAACCTTAAGGTCAACAGTTCAAAACTACCAGCTGTTCTGCAGGAAAAAGATGAGGCTTTCTACTCCCGTAAAGATTTACAGCCTCAGAAACCCTGTACAGGTTCGCTATGGGTCGGAACCAACTCGACGGCACTCAACAACAAAAAATTAGTCAAGGAAAAAAAAACTTGAATACAATTTAAAAGAATACATAATAATGGATCTAGAATGAATTATAGTCATCTTTATTCTTTTATAAAAGAAGAGTCTCAGAAAAGCAAAGGTCCTAGGTGCACAGAAATCTTGATACAGTCTTATCAGGACCTTCCTGAGGTTCCTCATGGTAAAAGCCAAAGTCCTCTCCTCAGCCCTTACGGCCCTGCCCTCCTCTCTATCACCACCACCCAGAATTCAGCTTCATCCACACAGGGTTCCTGGGGGCTCCTTGAACACTAACCACTCTCCTGCCTGAGGGCTTTGGGATCTGCTCTTCTGTGCATGGGTCCCTCTTTCCCCAAACAGGTACATGGCTTGCTTCTTCAGTGTGCCCCTGAACCTCACCTTCTCTGGAAAGCCTTCCCTGAGGCCCCAACTGAGAATGCAAACCCTTCCCACCCTCTGCTCTGACATATCCATTGAATATCACCCACCCATGATCTTGCTGGGCCCTCACAGGAACTCTGGGAAAGGTCACTCAGTCAAAGACGCAAGATGGTAAACGTGGTGGTGCTACAACTCCGAGGCAACCCGAGTCATCACAACACCTCAAACTTACCATGGTGGCAGGTAAGGGGACTTGAATGGGGTCTCACCTCATTTTGTATAACCAGGGCATGTGATTGGGGCCTATGTCGGCGAATATGGGTCTTGGGACTCCGGCCAGGCACCCGTGCCACTGAATAGGTGCTGAATCCCAGGGCAGGCAGTGAGGCAGAGAAGAGCAGTTCTGGGGGGTGTTGCTGACTGTCTGAGCCTGGAAGTATCACCACCTCGGGTAAGGGGAAGGAAACCCAAGTCAAGAGGCTGTGAATACACAGACCTAGGGGCACTGAGTGGAAGGGGCCAAACTCAAGGAGAGATAAGACTCCTGGGATGGGGAGAAAGCATTGAAGCAGACACACAGAGTATATCAGAAATGCTGAGGTAAATATTAAAGAGGAGATTCATTCACAAGGAAAAAAAAACAACAACAGGTGGGCAGAGAGATTATGGGAGGGGTAATAAATGAGAGACAGACATTGGGACAAAGAGATCTAAGAGGAAGGGGAGTGAGGGAAAGACTCTTGAAGGAAGAGATTTGTGGGAGGGCTGGGGAGTGGAGGGGGCATTCCCAGGCGTGTCAGGGTAGAACTAGGCTCCATAGGGTTTTCAGTGGTTGATCTTTCTCCCCAGAAGTAGATTAACAGGCCTTTCTTCTAACGTAACTCTGGGAGGACTCCAACCTCCAACCTTTGGTTAGTAGCAGACCATGTTTACCGTTTGCACAACTCAGGGAGTTGGCGTCAATTCAAAAGGTTTAACTGGTGTGTAAGGATATTCTTCTGGGATGAAGAATTATAAATAGGGTAGATTTTTAAAAGAAGGTGATATTCATGGGTATTCATTCCCAAGGGGATATTGAGATATACCTAAGGAGCTCTGATAGTGTAGTGGTTACGAATTAGGCTGTGAACTGCAAGATCAGCAGTTCGAAACTACCAGCTGTTCCGCGGGAGAAAGATGAGGCTTTCTGCTCCCCTAAAGATTTACAGCCTCGGAAACCCTGTTCAGGGTCGCTATGGGTCGGAACCTGTTGCAGACCGTGCGTAGACTATACAGGCCACAGGCTCTGAGGAACAAATGAGGCCACTGGCAGGCAACAGCAAATTGTTTTTCATCTTAGTGTTCAGTTATATTTATTAATTTAATACATGGAGCCCTTGATAATCTACAGATAAATGTGATATTTTCCTAAAGCCGAAGACTGTAAAGGTTGCAAGGTCAAGCCTTCCTCCAAAGGATTAACTAAAAATATCTTAGCTACTTCTCGGTTCTTTGTTCTATAGACAAAGAACCAATCCTCCCTAAGCCCTTTTCCAGGTGCAGCCCATTCACCTGGGCAGCTGGCGTCTTCCTGAAAACCTGACTCAGGAAGCTAAAACAGCAGGACTCCGCCCAAGCCTTCTGTCCTTCACTCTCACCTTCCCCCAACTGAGCTCAGGGGCTATAGATATGTTAATTGAGCCTGAGAAACCAAGTTGCAGGCCTGGGATTCGAACCAGCGAAGTACGATGTAAAGTTACCTGAATGTCTGGAAAATTACTGATGTTAGCTGTATCCTGTTTTAGTCCCTCCCAGCTTGGTGTGAAGCTCCTCCCCTAAATAAAACAGGTACAGGCCTCCCCAGGTGTGCATTACGGGTTGGAGGGCATGCAGTAAAGATTGCAGGGCAGTGAGTTGCTGCCTGCAGAGGCCACAATGCCTGTACTCCCAAGTCTGCCCACCAGTGATGTATCCACCCTGGCTTTGGGGTGCCTCATTGTCTCCCTTCTTCTGTCTGTCTGTGTATTCTTTTGCTATCTCTATCGCAGCCAGGTATCTCCTCCTCGTGAACCGAACCCCTATGTCGAGGCCAGTCCCCGACAGGAACCGATTCCACGGCACATAACAACAATAACAAGGGGATATTGAGGAATAGAGAGGAAGGCAGTGGAAGCAGCTATTGAGGGGAGGAAAAGACTCTTCATGAGAGGGAAAAAGGTACCTAAGAGAGGGAGGTGTTTATGATTGGGTACTAAGGGGTGTCCATGGGAAGGAAGGTCTATGGCGGAGGAGTTGTCATGGAGAGGTGCTCAAAATAGGAAGTAATCGTGGGTAGAATATTTGTCAAAGAGGCTCACTTCACTGGGCACTGTCCCACCACTGGGGTCCTTCACAAGGAAAACGCCTTCGCTGACAGGAAGTCGAACCATCCAATCTAGCTTCCGCCCAAGGGGGTTATAGATGGTGACCTGGAACTGGGATGGAAAGGTCAGAGCGGGCGGGCATGGGTCACTGCAAGTCTTCTCCAAACCTATCGACTATGCCACGATGCGAGGCAATGTCCTGTCTGATCCCAGTATGCTCCAGGATTTCCAAGCAAAGTGCCCTCGAGATGCACTCATCGGGTCCTCCCCAAATTTGACTGTGACTCACATTCGCCCGGTAAGGTTCTCCAGGAACAATTTGTTACTAGCTTTTGCAGAGGACTGGAGCCCCGCCCTTTCTCCTCCCCACCCCTGTTTAATCATTGGCTACGCCCAGACCTCACTAAGGATCTGCAAATTTCCTCTGTTCTTCACCCCGCCCACTACAGAATCATCCCATCTGCCCCTGCGGCCAGGCTCACACGCGTAGTCTTCAGAGTGAAGGGACAGACACTGATGTTGAGTTCGCGGCAGAACGTGAACTTCTCTTTGGAGCCACTGAGTCGAGCCAGAGCGTTGCTCAGGAGCACCTGAGAAGAGATAGGAAGGGGTGGGTCACCCTGAATGCCCGCCCCTACATCAGCCCCTCCCTTCCTCATCCCAGAGACAGATCTTTTTTTCCCTTTCTGGCCCCGCCTCGCTGCCTCTGGCTCCACCCATTCCCATCTCTGCCCCTCCCCTCCCCAGACTCATCCGCCTCTTGACCCCGCCACACACACCTCACAGGGTCCCCAGCCTTCAGCTAGCTGGCGCGCATAGTCGTCCGCCACGTGCTGTTTGGATGTACCGCTGACTGCATCGTGGTGCTGCAGCACGGCCATCGCCTCCCCTAGGGGTGGGATGGTGAGCTGGGCGGGGCCTCCACGAGTCACCTGCCCGCGACCTCAGGAGACACGCAGCTCCAATGCAGGTAAGGATTCTTAGGAGCTTTAAAGGTGGGCCTGAATGACACGTCCAGTCCAGTCCCACCCGCCTCTCCCTGGTCTGAAACCTACTGAGAGGCCCACTGTCTCCAGAGCCATAGGGTCCCGAGTTGGCCACCGGTCCCGCCAGCGCCTCCAGCTGGTTGCACACCTGGTGGACAGGGGCACGTTAAAGTGGTCAAGCCTGCCTGGGACCCCTTGGCCACCCCTTGCGCCAGGTACCCACCAACCTGCAGAAAGTTGTAGCTGAGGCGCTCGTAGCGTTTGAGGGCTGGCCGGCTGGAGAAGTAGCCTGTCCAGAAGTTGTGGGGGCCATCGGCGTAAGGGAAGAAGTCATCGTGTTTCACCGACCTGCAGGGGCGGGACACTGAGAGTAGGGTCACGGCCACAGGGCATTCCAATCCCCCCAGATATTCAGACCCCCAAATACCAAGTCAGGTTGGCCTTGTTCAGCTCCCAGAGGTAACAGGCTGGAGTGGAGTAGAGAACGTGGACTCGGCTCCCGTTGGCCTGCTGCTTGGGGAGAGGGGTGAGGCCTCTTAGAGTCCTCGTCTTCCCAGAGGTTACACAGGTGTGCACATAAATACTTAACCATAGTGTACACATTCACATTATATACTAATATACATATTTGACCAAAGCCAAATACATATTGTTGTTGTTGTTATGTGCCGTGGAGTCCGTCCCGACTCATAGACCCTGTACAGGGTTTTCAAGGCTGTAAATCTTTACGGGAGCAGAATGCCCCATCTTTCTCCCGCAGAACAGCTGGTAGTTTTGAACTGCTGACCTTGCGGTTCGCAGCCCGATTCGTAACCACTGTGCTACCAGAGCTCCTTACCATCCTTGAAACAATCTCAGAGATACAAGAATAAATCTGAAATTTTACAAAGCTTTAAAAAACAAAATTTCATTATATCACTGGAAAAAGTGTGACATTACTAAAAAAAAAAATAAAAAACTATTAAGTCCAGTGTCATTGAGTCAATTCCAACCCATAGTGACCCCATGTATAATAGATTAGAAAAGCGTTCCATAGAAAAGTCTCCCACAGAACAACTGGTAGTTTCAAACTGCTGGACATTAATTGTCGTCGCTAGTACTGCCAAGTTGGTTCCCACTCATAGCGACCCTGTGTAGGGTTTCCAAGGAGCAACTGATAGGTTTGAACTGCTGACCTTATGGTTGGCAGTTCAGCGCTTATTCTATAGCATCACACCAGGACTCCTGGACATTAATCGTGTAAAAATAAGCATTTTCCAGGAATAACTATTTGTACCAAATGTCACAAATTTTATAATGAATGGAGACTCATTTTTCAACAGAGGAAGATAGACGAACAAGAAGACTATTAGAACCTTCTACTGGTACTATATCCCCCATGGCCAACATACAGTAGTTGCTCAATAAATATATGAGTAAATGAAGGGAAAAGCATGGGGTTGCACATATCTACGTCCCTGCACACCTAGTCATATACTCAGTGACTTACTCAGACACATACATTGTGTTTAGTCAGCACACAATCACTCAGTTCTTCAATATGCCAGGTTGCACAAACAGTCTATAACCAGAGAGGCTAGTCCCTGCCCTCATGGAATTCACAGTCAAGTTGGGAAAAGAGACGTTAAACTAACAGTTAATTGGTTACAATTGGCCTGGATGTGGCGTCCTGGATATAGAGCCTAGGGTTTGGTGACGCTTGCTGGGGGAGGAGACATTGCAGCTGATGCTTTAAAGGATGAGCCATTTTTAAGCCAGAAATAATAATAATAAACAACCACCACTAACAATTATCATGTGTCAGGCATTGTTTTACTGATCTGTGCAAATGAACTCATTAAACTCTCATAATAGCCCTGCGAAGCAAAGACCACCATTATAAGCATTCCATAGAAAGCTAAGGCTCACAGAGGCAATCATGGCAAAGCCAAGATCTGAACCTGAAAGTTCATTTTCAGCATTTGTAAAATAGAGTATGCAAACAGTCAATATCAGGAGTAAAACCAAATGTAGCATCCTGGTATTCACAAGGCAGAGTATTTGCAAAAGAAAGTGACCCAGGGTGTTGAAGTTTCCTCAGGAATCAGGGCAGGATGAAGCAATGTCTGTTGGGAAGTCCTCAGTGACATGACGTAGGACAGTTTTGCTGAAATGGCAGAGCAGGGAGTTGGGGGAGTTGGGGAGGGCTTGAGGACATGGAGATTGGACAGGTAAACAGCTCTGAGAATGAGGTTGATGAGAAGCATCTTAGATAGGATAGAGAGAGACAAGTTTCTGTGCTGAAGGGACCACAGTAACAGGCTGCTTACAAGGGTTATAGCAACACATCCTGTGGTGGTGGCAGTTGCATGCTGTGGGGTCAGTTCTGACTCACAGCGATCCTGTGTAGGATTTTTGAAGCTATAAATCTATGGGAGCAGACAGTCTCATCTTTCTCCCATGTAACAGCTGGTAGTTTCAAACTGCTGACCTTGAAGGTTACCAGCCAGACTCATAACCACTATGCTACCAGAGCTCCTTCTGGAATGCAAAAATATTAGCTGTGTCCTCCAATGTTGTTGTAGTTAAGTGCTGTGGAGTCGATTCCAACTCATAGCATACAGGGTTTCCATATAGGGTTTCCAAGGAGCAGCTAGTGGATTTGAACTGCTGAACTTGTGATTCTCAGTCCAGCGCTGATGCTACAATGAGTTTCTGAGTTTTCTAGGTTGCATGACTGGTACAATGGATCACATTTATATATAACTTTTAGGCCATGGTCTTCTTGTTCAGTGCCGTCGAGTTAGTTCCAACTCACAGTGACCCTGTATAGGGTTTCTGAGGAGCAAATAGTGGTTTGAACTTCAGACCTTGAGGTTCAAACTAACCTTTCAGCCTAGTACATTAACCTGTAGTGCCAGGACTTGTAATGCCCACCAAAAGACTAGGTGGACGTATGCAAATAAGGTGTCTGTGCCCACCAAGTGGATTGGACAGTCTTGTTAATATGCAAATAAGGTTCCTGGTACCCTTATAGGGTGGGCTCATGTAAACAAGGTGTATGGGACCCTGACAAGGGGACGGCTCATTTCAAGTCATTCACGTAGACTTGAAATGAGCCATCCCAGAGGCAGAAATCATCCTCACTACCACCAAGATGAGACAGGAACAGGGCACATTCTTTGGCTCCAGGGTCCTTCCTTCTAGGACTAGGAGACAGAGAGAAAGAGCTGTAACACTGGAGCTGGCAAAAGACAGAGAGAAGCAACAGCAGAGAAATGGTAGAAGAAGCTGTTGCGATCACAGAACCCTGTTACTTCCCTAATAAAACCCCACAATTGTTAGTATGGTTTGTGAGTATGGTATGTGAATTCTGTATGGCCACTTCAATGAACTAATGACTCCAGAAGAGAAGTAAACAGTGTCATGGGAGAGAAGGCTGGTGTGAAAAAATTGGTAAAATTGTCTGGCCTCTGCCTCATAAGAATCAGTCTTGGGCTTATGCTAATGGAGGTTCCCTTCCCACCTGGTAGAATTAGATAAAGAGGTCTAATGCCTCTGCCCCATGATTTTTACTATGGCAAAACAGAAGTAAAGCTTCAGATAGAGTTAAAATTACTGATTAGCTGACTTTAAAATAAGGAGATTAGTATTTAAAAACAGAAGAGCAATACAAAAAAAGTGAAATGACATGTGAGAAGATATAATGCCGGAACAGAGTCATAGAGATTCTATATTGCTAGCTTTGAAGATGGAGGAAGGGGCCGCCCATCAAGGTATGCAGACAGCCTTTGGTGGTGGTGGTGTGCCGTGGAGTCGGTTCCAACTCATAGCAACCCTGTACAGGGTTTCTGAGACTGTAAATCTTTATGGGTGCAGAAAGCCTCATCTTTCTCCCACAGAACAGTTGGTAGTTTCAAACTGCTGACCTTGAGGTTCACAGCCTGATTCGTAACCACTACGCTACCAGAACCTTTAGCAACTGTAAAAGCAAAGAAACAGATTTTTTCCTAGGGCCTTGCAGTACAGTGAATTACTTGACATGGCTCTTCTAGCCATCATCTTTGTAACTCCCACCAAATGACTGGGTAGGACTATGCAAAGGTGAGGTGCTTATAGCTCACCTAGGTGATTGTGCCAATAAGATACATGGCACCCTTATGGGATGAGAATAAAACCTTTTATTTACACCTTATGGGATGCAAATAAAACATATGGAATGCTAACAAGGGGACTGTCTAGTTTTGCCAGCCTGCGAGGTTTACAGTGAGCCACCTCAGAAGTAGAAAGGGGGATCTCATGACCATGAAGAATGAAGTACTAAGAGTGGAGTATGTCCTTTAGACTCAAGATCGCTGTGCTGAAGTTCCTCAACCCAGGAGACAGAGAGCTGGGACACCGCAGACAGTGAGAGACGATGAGAAGCTGTGATAGACAATGAGGGACACCGGCAGGCAACAGGAAGGTAGGCTTCCTAGCCCACAGAACGAGACACCTGTGTGCCTTTGGGCAGCAGTCATGCTGGCAGAGTGGAGTACCTCCAGGGCAGTTTTGTCTGGGGAGCTAGGTTTGGCAAACCTAGCCAGAGCTGCCTACCTTCAAGCTGAAGTTTACTGGTGCAGTGAAGCGTCTTTTAGGGCATTTATTGACCAAGCAGGGCAAAATCCAAGGGGTCATGTGGCTTGAGGGTGGAGGCCAGAGAGATCCACAACTTTAAGTTTGACTGAGAAAAGGCTATCCTGACCCAAAACACTGTATCCTGAGCATTTGTGATCCTGAATTATAACCTGTTAACTTTCCTAATAAACGCCATCATCATGAGTACTGTCTGTGAGCTCTGAGTGGCCACTTCAATGGCTTATCAAACTCAGCAGAGGAGATTGCCATGGGAGGGACGGTGGCATCAGCATCGGTAAAATGGCTGCAGGGTGGAGGCATGTCTGACCTCTGCCTCATAGGAACTGGCTTTGGGCCAATGCTGCTGGAAATTTTCTTCCTACCTGCTAGTGAAGTTAAAGGACGTCAGATGACAACATCCCCACACCTGTTTTATAAGCCTCGTAAAATAAAAAGGAAGGAGTTCTGGTAGCGTAGTGGTTACGAATCGGGCTGCTAACCTCAAGGTCAGCAGTTTGAAACTACCCGCTGTTCCATAGGAGAAAGATAAGGCTTTCTTCTCCCGTAAAGATTTGCAGCCTCGGAAACCCTGTGCAGGATCACTATGAGTTGGAACTGATGCCACGGTGCTTAACAACAACAACAAAATAAAAAGGGGAATCCTGATGACACCTGGATTTTAGCCCAGTGAGACCAATGTTGGACTTCAGACTTACAGAACTGTAAGACAATAAATTTTGGTTTTAGGCCATTCAATGTGCGATCATTTGTTACAGAACCACGGCACAGGGATATAAGCATACATGTGCACACAGGTATCACGGGGGGTACACTGACCTGGCTGTTGACCAGCTGGATGAGCTTGTCAAGGTTCTTGAACCACATGTTGGCGTTCTCATATTGGAAGTCTGAGCCCATGGTCATGATGGTGTGATTGGTACGGTAGTGCCGGCCCTACAGGTGGGATAAGGCAATCCTCAGGCCTGGGTGTCATGGGCCATCCCAGAGGACAGCTGTGCCCTGGGTACATATATGATCAAGAGTATGTTAAGGAGAAACAGTGGGCTAGGGTTGGGGAGCATATGAGAACCCTGTTCTCTTTGTACAGTTTTTCTGGAAACCTGAAACTGTTCTAACAGATAAAGTCTATTAAGGAACAATAAAGAGTGGCCCCCAGTGGCACTTGGGGGCACAGAGAAACACACGTAAAAATTGTCAAGAGCTCTTCAGGAGTCCCTTCGACTGACTACACAGAGGAGGACATTGAAGGACAATGCCAGACTGTCTCACGGTCACGGGGAGTGCGTGCAGTGGGGAAGGGATCTACACGCTCTGATCGGGACCCAGAATCCACTGCCACTGAGTCAAGTGCAACTCACAGCCACCTTACAGGACACAGCAGAACTGGCCTCGAGTTTCCAAGACTATAATCTTTACAGAAGGAGACGTCTACATTCTTCTCCCACAGAGCAGTTGGTGACTTTGAAGCACTAACTTTTGGTTAACAGCTAAACACTTAAAGCACTGCACAATCAGGGTTCTGATGATATAGACACCCAAATCTAGGAGGAGAACATGGTGACAGTGAATGGGAGATTACCTTCCTCACAGGTTGGGAAGTGGTATTAAGAAATACCTAGAGCAGGGGAAGGGGTCTGAATGATCAACAGCAGGCCTGTAAGCCCAGGGTACTGGGGTTACCTGAACAGCAGCCAACTGCAGGAAGTAACTGACCAGCTCCTTGGCATTATACTCGGGGCTGCGGGGGTCGTCCACCACGGGCTTGTCATCACACAGCACGTCCCAGCACAGATCCTGTGGTGGGTTGTACATATTGGGGAGCACACCTGCAAGCCACACTAGGGTTAGGAGGTGGCACAGCACCGTGAACTTGCCCACTTTGGGCAGACTACAGAATTTGTGAGCCCCATTGCAAACTACCCACCACTCATCTGTCAGTGTGTCATACTGCATGCAAAAGATGGACAGTGAATAAGGAAAACCATAGAAGATTAGACGCATTTGAGTTATGGTGTTGGAGGAGAATATTTAAAGTACTATGGACTGACAAAAGAACCAACAGATATGTGTTGGAAGAAGTGCAGCCAAAATGCCCCTTGGAAGCCAGGATGTCCAAACTTCATCTCTCATACCTCAGACATATTATCAGGAGGGACCAGTCACCGGTAAAGGATATCATGTTTGGTAAAGTGCTGGGTCGGAGAAAAAGAGGAAGACCCCCAATGAGATGGACTGGCACAGTGGCAGCAGCAATGGGCTCAGGCATAGCAATGATTGTGAAATTGGCCCAGGACCGGGCAGTGTTTCATTCTGTTATAAATAGGGTTGCTATGTACCGACTCAATGGCACCTAACAACAACAACAATTGCAGTCTACAGAATTTGTGAGCCTCCACTGGACCAATAAGTAATATGATAAATGGCAAAAAGACTGGAGTTGTCAAATACTTCATTTTGCTTGGGTCCACTATCAACACTCATGGAAAGAGCAATCAAGAAGTCAAATGACATACTGCATTAGGTAAATCTGCTGCACAAGACCTCTTTAAAGCATTCAAGGGTAAAGATGTCAATTTGAGGACTGAGGTGTATCTGACCCAAGCCATGGTATTTTCAATAGCCTCATATGCATGTGAAAGTTGGACAATGAATAAGGAAGACCATAGAAGAATTGATGCATTTGAGTTATGGTGTTGGAGGAGAATATTGAAAGTGCCATGGACTGCCAGAAGATCAAACAAATCTAGTTTGGAAGAAGTACAGCCTGAATGATTCTTAGAAGCCAGGATGGCGAAACTTTGTCTCTCATAATTTGGACATGTTATCAGGAGAGACCAGTCACTGGAGAAAGACATGATGCTTGGTAAAGTGGAGAGTCATCAAGAAAGAGAAAGACCCCCAATGAGATGGAGATGGATTAGACAATGGTTCAAGCATAACGTTGATTGTGAGGATTGTGCATAGGCTGGAAACAAAAAGGAGACATCAGTACTTGGAAAATATGGCCTTGGTGATAGAAACAATGCTGGAGATGGCATGATAGAATTCTGCAAGACCAATGCCTTCTTCATCGCAAATACCCTTTTAAAAAATATAAAAGAAGACTATACACATGGACCTTACCAGATGGAATACATAGAAATCAAATTGACCACATCTGTGGGAAGAGACGATGGAAAAGCTCTATATCATCAGCCACAACAAGGCCAGGGGCAGACTGTGGAACAGATCATCAATTGCCGATATGCAAATTCAGGCTGAAGCTGAAGAAAATTAAAACAAGTCCACAAGAGCCCAAATATGACCTCTCCATAGCCCATCTGAATTTAGAGATTATCTAAAGAAGAGATTTGATGCATTAGACACTAATGACCAAAGTTCAAAAGAGTTGTGGAATGACATCAAGGATATCATATAGGAAGAAAGCAAAAGGTCATTAAAAAGATAAAGAAAGAAGGAAAAACTCAAAATGGATGTCAGAAGAGACTCTGAAACTTGCTCTCCAGCTAAAGCATATGGCAGAAATAAGGAGGTAAAGAGCTGAATAGAAAATTTCAAGGAGCAGCTAGAGAAGACAAAGTCAAGAATTATAATGAAATGTACAAAGACCTGGAATTTGAAAACCAAAAGGGAAGAACAAGCTTAGCATTTCTCAAGGTGAAAGAACTAGGGGAAAAATTCAAGCCTCAACTTGAAATATTGAAGGATTCTATGGGGAAAATGGAGTCCTGGTGTGGCATTGTGGGATAATGCACTGGTCATAAAGGTCATTTGGATCACAAGGTCATCGGTTCAAACTCACCAGCTGTTCCTCAGAAACCCTATCAGGGTCGCTATGAGTCGGAACCATCTCAATAGGCACTTAACAACGACATGTGCAAAATATTGAATGATGCAGAAAGCATCAAAAGGAGATGGAGGGAATCCACAGTCACTGTACCAAAAATAAAGTGTCTGTGTTCAACCATTTGAAGAGATAGCACATGATGAAGAACCAATGGTACTGAAGGCACTGGCAAAGAACAAGGCACCAGGAATTAACGGTTTAGTGGAAATCTTTCAACAAACTGATGCAGCACTAGAGGCACTCACTCATCTACACCAAGAAATTTGGAAGACTGCTACCTGGTCAGCTGATTGGAAGAGATCCATATTTCTGCTTATTCCAAAGATAAGTGATCCAAAGAAATGTGGAAATCATTGGACAACATCATTGATATGACATGCAAGTAAAGTTTTGCTAAAGATACTTCAAAAATGGCTGCAACAGTACATTGACAGGGAGCTGCCATTAGTTCAAGCCAGATTCAGACATGGACGTGGACAGTAGGATATATCATTGCTGATGTCAGATGGATCTTGGCTGAAAGCAGAGAATACCACAGAAAAGTGTTTACCTGTGCTTTATTCACAATGCAAAGGCTTTCAACTGTGTGGATCATGACAATCTATGGACAACATTATGGAGAATGAGTATTCTGGGACATTGAATTGTGTTCATAGACAAAGAGACAATTGTTTGAACAGAACAAGGGAACACTGAATGGTTTAAAATCAGGAAAGGTTTAAGTCAGAGTTGTATTCTTTCACCAAACTTATTCATTCTGTATGCTAAGCAAACAATTGAGAAATTGGATTATATGAAGAAGAACGTGGTATCAGGATTATAGGAAGACTCATTAGTAACCTGTGATACACAAATGATACAATCTTGCATGCTGAACATGAAGAGGATTTAAAATACTGATGAAGATCAAAGACCACAAGCTTCAGTATGGGTGGTGCTTCAATATTCAAGGAAACCAAAGTCCTTACCACAGAACCGATAAATAACATCATGATATACAGTAAAAGACTGAAGTTATCAAAGATTTCATTCTGCTTAGATACATAATCAACACTCATGGAAGCAGCAGTCAAAAAACCAAGTGATATTGCCTTAGGCAAATCTGCTGCACAAGTGTTCAAGAGCAAAGACATCGGCTTTAGGACTAAGGTATGCCTGACCCAAGTCATAGTATTTTCAATAGCTTCATATGCATGTGGAAGTTGTACAATGAATAAGGTAGACTGTAGAAGAATTGATGCATTGGAATCATGGTGTGGGAGAAGAATATGAAAAGTACCATGGACTGCTAGCGTAGTGGTTACGAATCGGGCTGCGAACCTTAAGGTCAGCAGTTCGAAACTACCAGCCGCTCCGCGGGAGAAAGATGAGGCTTTCTACTCCCGTAAGGATTTACGCCCTCGGAAACCCTGTACAGGGTCGCTATGGGTCAGAACCGACTCGACGGCACTTAACAACAACAACAAACAACCATGGACTGCTAGAAGAACAAACAAATCTGTGTTGGAAGAAGTACAGCCAGAGTGCTCCTTAGAAGCCAGGATGGTGAGAATTCATCTGTCATACTTTGGACCTATTATCAAGAGGAACCAGTCCCTGATGAAGTACATCATGATTGGTAAAGTGGAAGGTCAATGAAAAAGAGGAAGACCCCCAATAAGATGGATTGGCACAGTGGCAGCAGCAATGGGCTAGAGCTTAACAATGATTATGAGGATGGCACAGGACCAGGCAGTGTTTTGTTCTATTGTGCATCAGGTTGACAAGAGTCACAACTGACTAGATGGCACCTGACAACAACAACAAGACTGAAAATAGTGAATCAATGATACCAGTTAACAACAACAACAAAAAGTAAAAAGAGGAAATAATGTAGTTACAGAACTTCTAAATGAAGAGGAAATCAAGTAAGTTTCAAGAAAAAAAAAAATCAACAAATAAATAAGCAAATAAAATAAACCTGAGTAACATGACTAGCTATCTGCACACCCACGTTCACTACAGCAATGTTCACAATAGCAAAAAGGTGGAGACAGCCTAAATGCCCATCATCATAAGAACGGTTAAACAAACTTTGGTCCATACACACAATGGAATATTACGCATTATTGAAGAATGACGAAGAATATGCAAAACTCCTCACAACATGAGGACATTGTGCTGAGTGAAGTTAGTCAATTTCAAAAGGAGACATATTACATGAGACCACTGTTGTAAAAAGTTAAGAAAAGATTTTCTTGCTAAATGAAATATTCTATGATGGTTACGGTGCAAGTGGAGGCTGGTGGGGAGAGGGAGACACTAATGACCAAAGATCAAAATAGTTGTGGAATGACATCAAGGATATCCTATAGGAAAAAAAAAAAAAAAGAAGTAAACACTGTTAACTAATGGTTGTTGTTGTTGTTAAGTGCCGTCAAATTGGTTCCTACCCATAGTGACCCTGTATAGGGTTTCCGAGGAGCGGCTGATAAGCTTGAACCACACATCTTGCGGCTCAAACAGACCTTGCAGTCCAGCGCATTAACCAGCAGTGCTGGGAGTAAATTGCAATTATTATAATGACACCAAGTATATAATTTGTTGAATGTGGGACTGATGATCTTTTCTGTAAACTTTCACTCAATTCACATTAAAAAGTTAAAAATAATAAATAAACCTAATTGTAACCCTAAAATTAGACTAAATCTTACTCCTAGCCACAGCCCATGCCTTCCCCTTAACCTGAGTCCTAACTGTAATCCTAAAACTACACCAAGTCTAGGCCTAACCTAGACCTAGCCATAGTCCTAACTCTAACCCTGACTCCTTACACCTATCCACCATCGCCAAAAGTACCATAGAATTCCTATTCATGAAAGTGACACTCTGTATATATTTTTTGTCATTCACACATCTGTTGATCTATTGGAAGCATCCCATCCTTGTGAGAAAAAAAAAAAAAAGAAAAGAAAACTTTGGGGGGAAAAAAAAGAATTTCAAGACATTAACATTAGAACATTAAATCAAATGCAAGGCCCTCTGAGGCTGGAAACTGCATGTCAAACACCCATGGGGTCAGCCCTCCTCCTGCTCACCAGTGAAGAGGTCAGCGGCAGGAGGCTTCAGGCTGGTGCTGGCCCGCCACACCTGCTCCATCTCCAGCATCTTCTCCCGATTCTTCTTATCTTGATAATCCAGGCGACCAAAGAAGAAGCCATCGAAGCCCATCTGGGGGTCAGAGCATGGGAAAGGGCAATCTGAGCCAGAGCCTCTCACTACCTACCTCTCTCACCACCAACCGAGCCCAAACCCAGCTTGGCAGAGGCAAATGAGAGTAGAGACAGAAAGCAGGTCTGAAACTAGGGAGGCTTCCAGCACATTTCCAAACTTGGGGATGTGTCAGAACCTCTGGGCAAGGGAGCTACCAAAGGTGATAGGGGTGAAGTCTGACTCAAGGAAACCTTCGGTCTTCCACAGCCAGAAAAGGGATGGATCAAGAGCATGGAAAGGGAGTAGGGTCAGGACATACGAATGAAGTTGGTTTTAAAACATGGTAGGTCTCCACCTGCCACCAAGCTTGAGAAGAAGTCGGGATCACAGCAAACAATGTGGGGCCAGAGCAACAAGGGGCAGGTCAGGAAATGGGGCAGAGTCATCGGGAGCAGCAAAGAACAGGGATTCACAGCTCACTTAAGGGACAGAGACTCAGAGGTCAGGGGCAGGGTCTGGTTAGCATGGAATCAGCAAGAAGGTTGATTTGGATGGCCACGGAAACAGTCCGAGCAAGTGAGTTGATGAATCCAAGAGAGGTCTGGGGTAGCACCTGCGCGAACAGTGAGGCCTGCTCCCGAGAGTGGCCAAAGGGGTCGATGTGCCAGGCCACACGGGGGCGTCCATCGATACCAAACGTGTCTTCCAGGAATCGTAGCCCCAAAGTCATCTGGTCTATGATGGCACCATAGTGGGTGGCTGCCTCATCATTCATCACCCAGCCACCATTGGCAAACTCCAGACGGCCTATGTCAGGAAGGGAACAGGTAGGACAGAGTTGTCAGGGCTAGGAGTGAGGCCAGGGGGGTGATGTTAGGGATGATAGGGACTGCTCACATGCCCAGGCCTAGAAGGAGAAGAGAAGTCGCTCCCAAGCCAGTGTAGGCAGATCTGGGACAGAGGGCCCCCTGTGTTTCAGGCTTCCCAGAGGGTCCACTGGAGACCAGGCTTTGTAGGATCCATAGGAATATTCCAGATAAAGGGAAATTCCAGACAGAGGAATTACATCATGCATAGTCTGCGCGTGGCAGGATATAACCACAGAAGCCAGATAACAGAAATGGGAAGCTGAGCTCAGCTTCCTCTTTTCACTTCCTAAGGGCAATCTTACCCTGTCGTACCAGGTCCCGCACAATCTCCTGTGTTGCCTTTGTCTGCTGGTGCCACCATCGGGAGAAGAAGGCTATCTCCACATAGATAAAGCGACGGGTGGGCTCGGCCAGCAGGGCAGAGACTACGGAGTCCAGGATGTACTGCACCCCTGCGTGTTGGATGTCATTGCGGACTATGGACACAGGAATCAGGTAGTCAGGGCAAGAAAGGCCAAGGAACACATTCTTGGACACAGGAGCCCAGATTGGGGATTGACAAGCCCCAATGTTTATGATCCATAGAGGATCTGAGGGGCTCAGAGGGACCGTGGGCATCCACAGGCCAGTCCCGACCTTCTACTCACTGCCATAAAAGTACTGGTCCACTGTCTTGAGCCAGCCAACGTCATCATGTGTGTGGGCCACCAGGTGAACATTGAGCATGCCCGGCTGCACCTTGGGGCATGTCTGCAGAGACCCAAAAACATACACTATATCAGTAACCCTGGGGTCAAGAGGCATAATGAAGGTGGGGACAAAATAAACCAACAGGTGAGTGACTGACATGGAGGAGCTTCCATCTGACCCCATGTCCAGAGGAGGCCAGGCCCCACCCCAGGGAGGACACACTCATACTTATCTCCCAGATAACAACTCTCATTTCACACAAGTCCACATACGTACTCTCACTCACACCATAGGAGAACAGTAACATTAGTATAAAGAAATAAAGCAAAACAAACCCGTTATCATGTTATAAAGGAGTGGGTTCCCATGGCTACCAAAGGGTTTTCTTTAAAAAACTGATCACTAGGCCTTTCTTCTTTAAGCTACCTCTAAGTGGACTCAAACCTCTAATCTTTCAGCTAATAGCTGAATGTCTAACCATTTGTAACACCCAGAGACTGTATAAATGATAGCTAACAACTCCGGGTGTGGCGCTGTAGCATCAGCGCTCGACCACAAGGTGGTGGTGGTGGTGGTGTGCCTTGGAGTCGGTTCCGACCCATAGCTACCCTGTACAGGGTTTCCGAGGCTGTAAATCTTTACGGGAGCAGAACGCCTCATCTTTCTCCCGCGGAATAGCTGGTAGTTTCGAACTGCTAACCTTGCGGTTCACAGCCCGATTCGTAACTACTTCGCTACCAGAGCTCCTTCGATCACAAGGTAGGCGGTTCAAAGTCACCAGTCACTCATTGGAAACCCTGTGCGTGATCGCTACGGGTCAGAACCGCCTTGACCTCACTTATCAACAACAACAACGTGCGCTGTAGGATAAGCGCTACTCCTTGGAAAGCTTATTCAGGGTCACTGTGAATCGGAACCAATTCGAGGTCACTTAATAGCAACGTTTGTTTATTAAGCATTTGCAAACGCCAGGCAGCCACCCTGGGAAGTGAAGGCAATACTACCCATTTCTAGACGAGGAAACAGAGATTCCGAGAGGTGATGTGACTTGCAAACGGTCACACAGCCAGGAAGTAGGTGAGCCGGAAGAGACAAGAACCCCAGACAAGCTGACTTCAGAGTCCCGGGTTTCATCCAGTCCCCCTCCACACATACAAACGCACACAGAGCTGGTCACACCTCCAAGCACACAAAGCTGCTCGTATGCAAAGTCCAGACAAGCTGACTGGCAGTCCAGTCAGAATCAGCCTGTTTCTCAGAGTCAAACTTCCCAAAGACACAAAGCACGCACTCAGACCACAGTGTCATTTAAGCTACCATTCACTAAGCACCCACGAAACTGGCCCAGTCACACCTCTGGACCATGCGTGGGTCTTCACTCGAACTCGTGTACATTTCCGTCCGCGGGCCCCACTCACCTCATAACGCGAGGCCTGAGCACCGAGCACCACCAACAGAAAAAACAGGGAGAGAAAAGGCGGGGCGTGGGAGCTCATCCAGGGCGCCACCGCCTCACGCCAGCTTCCGCCAGCGCCCACCGCTGTAGCCAGAGCGTCAGCGCTCATAGCTCAAACACCACTGCCACCTCTAGCTTTTGCGGCTCTCCAACTTGGCTCTGGCTAGGCAAAAACTCCACCCCCAGAATCTGGGGTGACCAATCGGTGTCGTTGTGGGAGGAGCTAAAACGTGGACTGGCATGTCACGAGAGCAAAGCTGTAGCATGGGACTCTGAGCCTCTAGTGGTGCTGACCGGATCTTGCTCTGAGGCCACTCCAAGGGGCTTCCAAATGGCCCTTTGTCTTCATTGGAACAAGAGTCTTTCCTCTGAGTGTCACGTTTGCGCGCGCATGGGATGGAGGTGTCCCGTCTACTTTAAGGCTGGTGTCCTGGAGGGATACAGCTTGACTAGCAACAGAGATTGATGGGACTCCTGTTCAGTCTGGTAAACTGCCCATGGAGTGCTGGGGATTCCAGGTACTTAGCATAGTTGGGAGGGCTCCCTGGGGGTTCTGGTGTCTAATTCTGACCCTGGAGTAAAGCCTCACAGGTAGGGAAAGACCCTTAACCTTTCACACCCTTCCTAATTTCTGTTCCATCCACGCTCTGGAGTCCAGGTATGGCACTGTAGGATAAGCACTCAATCTCAAAGTTGGTTTGAACAGCAAAGTCAGTGGTTCAAACTCATCAGCTGCTCCTCAGAAACCGTATACTGGGTCACTATGAGTCAGAACCTACTAGTCAAAACAACAACTCCAGACTACAGATATTTAGTTTGATAAGAAAACCAAAGCTCAGCAGGTTTATCTGCTGAGTTGCCAAGGGCAAGGGGTCACTCCTATATCCAGAGTCACTTAGGCAGTTGTTGTTGTCAAGTACAACCCATAGTGACTCTGTATAGGGTTTCTGAGGAGCGGCTGGTGAGCTTCAACCACTGACCTTGTGGTTGAAACTGACTTTGCAGCTCAGCACAGTAACCCACAATGCCACACCAGGACTCGCTTGTTATCTTAAAGTGATATCAAATTGACTCAGAGCAACCCAAAATGACTGGTGGGTCTGAACCGCCAACCATAGGGTATAAGTTCAGTGCTTATCCTATAGCACCACACCAGATATAACATGAGACTGTGAAATAAACACATGAAAGCTCCAAAGTAGGACCCCTATCCATAGCTATCCCCACCAGAAGGGGGACCTCAATGGCACAGAAGGAGACAGGTTGAAAAGGAGATAGAATGAAAAACTTTATTATTAACTGATTCCAACAAGAAAAGTAGAAGTGCCCAGAAACATGGACAGCATTTCCATCAGCAGCAGGCAGGGTGATGGCACAGGTATAGGCCTAGGATGGTCCCACTGCACCCTAGCAGAGAGGAGGGAGCCCAGAGAAAGGGCCAGGTTCCCTCCATTCAGCTGAGAGTCCTGAGACCACCTCACCCAGGGAAGCCCAAGATAACAGCCAAGGGCAAGAGGCTGAGGAGCCAAAGGCCAGTCCTGGGGGAAAGTGTATAGAGGAGGTCCAGGATGTGTCCACCCCTCTAGTTTGGCATCACCAAGGGGGCGTCATGGGTTGAGGGTTTTGTAGATATGACATCACCACTGCAGAGATGGAGAGCCTGAAACAGGAAAGAGAGGTGTCAATTAAGAATCCAAGATGAGTAGGCGTAGGTCCCTCCTTTCCCACTCAGAGTCTTTTTCCTTCTAAGACACCAACTTACATGAAACTACTCATCATCTGCTTGGTGTCCTCTGAACTCCGAGAATTGGCGAAGCTGATGAAGGAGCAGTACACAGCGACCCAAGCACACCACTTCAGCTGGGGTGGGTAAGTAGGCGGGAGTGGATGTGTGGGTTAGGCCCGTGAGAGGGCACACCAGTGAATCCCTGCAAGCCTTAAACTCAGTAAGTACCACATTCTGAAGCACAGGTTCCAACCCACTGATTCCACTTGGCAGAGTCAGGTCTTGTCCCCAGGAGTCCCTTAAGTCTCACAACCTACTCTAAATACCCCAAAACGTCCTCTCGGCTCTTGACATGCCCCTCATGCTAAGGATCTCACCCTTTTGCCAAGTGCCTTTTCCAAGTCACTTCAGTGCCTGCCCGAAATCACAGGTCGACACAGACATTCCCTCCCTTCTCAAACCCACCACCCACATACCCATTCCTGCCCTGCCCCAGGCTTCCCTTTCAAATCTAGCATTCCCAACCATGCACAATCTGGATTTGCCCTTGGCAGAAGAACCCACTACACTCCCGCTTTGAACCCTGGGTAAGCTCAAGCCCCGCCCTCTGGTGCATGCCTTCCGCCAAAGTTGTCAGACACAGCCCGCCCACCTTGAGCATGAGGCCGCACATGCTAAAGATCATGCCTAGTAGGTTCATGTAGTCTGGCGTCGGATCGTCCAAGGCCGGGTTACACTCGCTCGGCGGAGGCTTGTACCTGCGGCAGGCTCAAGGATCAGTCAGAGAAGCCAAAGTCCCACTCCCAGAAAAGACCAATCCCTGGACCCCTACTGACACCCCTAACCCAAGCCTCGTCGCCATGATGTTAGGAACCTCACCTCAGCACTTTGTTCGGCCTCCGTGGGTCCGACATATTGTTCGCCGACATATCGAATACCAGGCCGGGGCGCACCTCTTCCGCAGCAGTTCAGCTTCCTGTGTGGAAACGGGAGGTAGCTTTTCGAGTAACACACGCAGCCCTCTTCTTCCGTTCCTCCCGGCGCGGCCCAAGACTTCCCCAACCAGAAGACAGAGTACTAGAAGGGACCAAAAAAGATGCCCCTTTGAAACAGGAAGAGGGAGCGGGGGGAGGGATCCAGAGAGCGGACTTCTATAGGTCCAGAGAGAAGAAATGTTGAATCTGAAAGTGAGAAGCAGGAAGTAGATCGTGGGGCACTATAATAAAGTTACACCCAAGCGTGGGTTCCGAGGGATCGCAAACCTGGATAGCGCTTAATATTAGGGAACGAAGAAGGGATCTCGGAGCTATGGCTTTTCCTGAGCCAAAGCCGCGGGTCCCAGAGCTGCCGCAGAAACGGTTAAAGACGCTGGACTGCGGACAGGGTGCGGTGCGAGCCGTGCGTTTTAATGGTGAGCGTCTCCGGCATTCCGGGTTCTCCCCTGCTCCGGCCCTCCGCCTCTCGAGGTCCACAGCCCAGTAACCCCAGCCTGGTGTTCCCCAGTGGATGGCAACTACTGCCTGACGTGCGGCAGCGACAAGACCCTGAAGCTGTGGAACCCGCTGCGGGGGACGCTTCTGCGCACGTACAGTGGCCATGGCTACGAGGTGCTAGACGCGGCCGGGTGAGCAGAGGGCCAGGCAGAATTGAAGCGCTGGGGCGGAGATCAGAGCTCGATGCTGACATGCCCTCCCTTCACCTCCAGCTCCTTTGACAACAGCAGTCTCTGCTCCGGCGGCGGGGATAAGGCCGTGGTGTTGTGGGACGTGGCATCGGGTCAAGTTATACGCAAATTCCGAGGCCACGCAGGGGTAAGTGCGAGGCAGGAGATTCTCAGTAGAGCATGGATGGTGGGAGGGAACTGCAGTATCACGTAGGTAGTGACAGGGACACACGTGCCACCCCCATTACAGCGGAAGGAAAGATCTTTCTGCTTCCCTTGATGGCCCTATGGCCAGGTGGACAAACCCTGACCTTGCAGCTACCCCAAAGCCTTCCACCTCCCATTCCCCCTACCCTTTGTCATTGCTTTTACCTGCCCCGGGACCCCTGCCTTTATCCCAACCCTCCAAAGCCCAGCCCCCTCTGAGTGACAGTTCCTATTCCCCAGAAGGTGAACACCGTACAATTTAACGAAGAGGCCACAGTGATCCTATCTGGTGAGTCTGGGGCCTAGACAAGGGGGAGCCTAGGGTGCTGTGTCCACTCTTCCAAACCTGACTGCACCTTCTTGCTGGCCTCGCAGGCTCTATTGATTCCAGCATCCGCTGTTGGGATTGCCGCTCGAGGAAGCCTGAGCCGGTGCAGAAGCTAGATGAGGCCAAGGATGGCATATCCAGCGTGAAGGTGTCGGACCATGAAGTCCTGGCAGGGTGGGTGGAACCACTGGGAAGCGTAGCTGAGGCTGCACTTAAATTAAAATCTTCTTGGTTCTTGGCAGCTCACAGTAAGGTCTGGCCCCTGCTGACCTCTCAGCGTTTATTTGTTGTGGGCCTCATTTCTCATAGACATGTCTAGCATGCTCCTGAAGTATTTGAGCATGTACTGCCTCCCAGACACTTTTCTGTTTATTAGGAGTTTATTTATTTATAAGCCCAAAACTAAACCAAGCCCACTGCCAACGACTGATTGTATCAAAGTTACCCTGAGGTATAGTTTAGTTCAGTACATAATTGCAGTCCCCTCTGTGTACCAAGGAGTAGAACTGCTCCTTAGAATTTCTAGGACTATAAATCTTTATGGGAGCAGACAGTCTCTTCTTGCTCTGATGGAGCAACTGGTGGGTTTGAACCACTGACCTTGTGGTTAGCAGTCCAACACTTAGCCCACTTTACTAATAAGTGTTCTCTATTGGAATTTTGCAGGAGAAAGATGAGACTTTCTGCTCCTGTAGATTTACAACCTTGAAAACACTGTATGGTTGATGAGTCAAAATTGTCTCAGTGGTGGTGGGTTTTGTTGAGGAATACGTCATCCAGGAGGCAGGGAAGGTTGGTAAAGACTGAGACTTTAAGGAGGAAGAGAAACCACCCCTGGGGAGACCTAGGGCAACAGCAAGTACAAAAGCCCAAAGTGTGTGTGTGGGGGGGGGCGGGGAATTTGGGGGTGTGGCTGGATGGCAGCGCCCACACAGAAATTGGGCAAGAGGTTGAGAATGGGGTTGGATAGTGCCTAGGTTATACAAAGTCAGAAGGGTCACAGGAAGAATTAGAATGTTTTTCTGAGAATACTGGAATATGTTTGTTTGAGTGGGATTGGCCCCCAGTGACTATACTTTCAAAAGTGTGCCCTCTGGCCATCCTGGTGAGGAGACCATGGACCTTAACGGTGGATTTCAGGGAGACCCAACCAATCAGATTTTGGGGTTACTTTGGAGAAAGAGCTAGAGCATGCAGGTAAAAGAGAATCCAGAGGAGTTTGACTTTTAAAAAATTTGAGAGAGTCCGTGGATCGCAGAAATTGATCTAATGTAAATGATAGAGCTGAGTCTCAGAGTGTCAGAATTGTACTTGTAATTCAATTCATTTCAACTAATGTTTCCATGGTAGTGAAGGGTGTCCAGGAAGAGTGGACTCAGCCTTGCCCTCAAGACCCTTGGTGGCAAAGGAGATGGGTCAGGGAAACCAAGGCTGCTTCTTTTCCATCCCCCATTACTTTTTTTCCCCAACTTTTTATGAATTGAGTGAAGGTTTACAGAGCAGATCATCAGTTTGACATTCAGAAAATCATATACTTTGCTTCATTACATGGTTGCAATCCCCTCCATATACCAACACTTAACAGTATTTACTTCTGTTCACTTTATTGCATTTCTCCATGTCTCCCGCTACCTTCATCTTTCCTCTGCTAAGCTCCCTCTTCTCGAATATTGCCTGTCCTGTCACCCACGCTAACATGTGTCTGCCTGCCCTCTAGCTTGTGGATAATTTTCCCTCCCTCCCCTGCATATAGTTTCTTTTATCAAGAAAACATTTTTTTTTTTTTTTTTTACAACATTAGTCTCATACAATATTTGTCCTTTGTGATTGACTAATTCCACTCAGCATAATGGCTTCCAGGTTCAACCATATTATAAGGTGTTTACACACAAATTCATCATTATTCTTCAGCATTTTGTGGTATTTTGTTGTGTGTGTGTACCAAAGTTTAACCATTCGTCTATTGATGAGCATTTAGACTGTCTCCATCTTTTTGATGTGTCTCTTATAGACAGCATATGGAAGGATCCTATTTTATCATCCACTCTGCTCTGTATGTCTCTTGACTGGTATGCTTAATCCATACAGTCAGTGTAATTATCAATAGGTATGAACACATATTTGTCCTTTTTCTCTATTTTTTTTTGTGTGTGTGTGGTGCTGGATTCTTAGCTCCACATAATTTTCTATGCCGAGTTCATTTTGTTTGTGGGTTTTCTTGTCATTTTCATTGTGTTGTTGTTTACTAAAAGGTTCTGACTTTTTTTTTTTTATGTGCAGGTTTATTATTTTTCTTTGAGGGTACCCTGTAATTTATTCATTTGTTCCCTGCTTGTAACAGTCTGTTTTATCTGACTGCTTCCTCTCCATCCACCATCTCATGCAGCTCCGTGGACGGTCGAGTAAGGCGATATGACCTGAGGATGGGGCAGCTCTTCTCTGACTACGTGGGCAGTGAGTGGAGCCCAAGGCTGTGGAACAGGAAGGGCAAATGAAGGCCGCAAAGGGTGCCCCAGACTCACTCCCCAATCTCCCACCACCACCAGGCCCTATCACCTGCATCTGCTTCAGCCGGGACGGGCAGTGCACCCTGGTGTCCAGCCTGGACTCAACGTTGCGGCTTCTAGACAAAGATACAGGAGAGCTACTGGGCGAGTGAGTCCTTAGGGTTACTGGGCCCTTGTCCCTCTACCCCACACCCCAGGTGAGGCCCAAGCTCTCCTACCTCTGCCCATCTCCAGATACACAGGCCATAAGAACCAGAAGTACAAGCTAGACTGCTGCCTAAGTGAACGTGACACACATGTGCTCAGCTGCTCTGAGGATGGGAAGGTGTTTTTTTGGGACCTGGTGGAGGTGAGCCACAACACACACACACACACACACACACATTCTGTGCTTATGCCAGTCATTCCCAAGCCTGAAAAGAGACAATCGGTATTAGAGCTGTGGTCTTGAAGGACAAGACAGGAGACAGTCCAGACACAGGGAAGAGTGTGCAAAGGCCTGGAGGCAGAACACATATCAGTCAGGAAGCAAGAATGTCAGGGCGGCAGGATCCAGATCAGGCAGGTCTGGGAACACCAGGCCGAAGGACTGGGACAGACCCCTCAGTGAGACACCACTGTATTTACTCAGGAAACCTGAACGACATCTGAGCAGCACCATGGTTTCCAGCCCTGTCCAGGATGAGTTCTGGTCTGATTGGACAGTCAGGTGGGAACAGACCATCCCAGTCTACTGGCGCTTCAAGGAAGGCAATGTCAGCCCTGGGGCTTAGCCAGGGGAACTGAATCTCCTAAGAGGGCAGAGGACCCTGTGGAGGCCTTGGAGACTCAAGGGACCAACTGTCGCAATAGGACTAAGCAGAGAGTGGAAATGTTCCATTTCCTCAAGGGCCCCGCTGACATGATGTCATCCTGGAAAAGAGGACATGTGGAGGGACTTTTCTAGTGTGGAAAGAAGATTTGGGGTTTCCTTGTAGAAATGTACAAGTTGAGATGAGGGAAGTCAGACGCACTAAGGCTGCAGAAGTGAGCTGAGGGAGAGGTGGACAGCAGCAGGGAGGAGGGGAAACGAGTCAAGGTGAGCTCAGGGCAAAGTGGTGTCCTTGAAAGAACAGACATTTTCTAAAGGCAGAGCCAACAGCATTGAGCATAAAGGGAAGGGAGTGAGGGGTAACAGGAAAAGACTCCCAAGATGTTTAACCTGGGCACCTGATGGGATCATTTGGGACAGATGAGGTGTGTGTGTGTCTAGAAAGCAATTGGGGTAGTTCTGTCAAGGTCAGAAGGGAGGTGGCTGGATTTGGGGGCCACATTGGGGGAAGGAGACTGACTCCTAGGGAACTTGAGGGTCACCTATAACCACTCCTATTCCTTTTCCCTACAGGGGGCACTGGCCCTGGCCCTGCCTGTGGGATCCGGTGTGGTACAATCGCTGGCCTTCCATCCCACTGAGCCCTGCCTGCTGACTGCCATGGGGGGCAGTGTCCAGTGCTGGCGGGAAGAGGCCTATGAAGCTGAAGGTGGAACAAGCTGAAGCCAGGACCCCCCACCCTTCCCTCAAGGACAGAGACACAGACTCAGAAGGAAGACTGAGATCATTTTTATGTCGGACACAGTGGTGACCAGAGAGGGGCAAGGGGCTGGGTTTTCAAACTAATAAATATAGGCAGGGTGAGACCTCCCTGGGGCATCAACTGCTCAGTCCTCGTTCTTCTCAGGCACGAAGGCATCTACTTTCTGAGCAAAGGTTTCAGCCACAAGCAAGGGGAAGACCAGGGAGGCATCAGCATAGACCTGTAGAAGGGACCCAGGTAAGCCACAGGCTCCATGGCCACAGCCCAGAGAACTAAGCCCATGGTCAGCCCTCACCTTCACAGGCTGTGCATCCACCCGGATCTTGCCCCAAGAGACAGCCTCATCTGGCCGGGCACCTGAGTCGGAGCCATCAAACTCCTGGGCCGTGTTGATGTAGACTGCATAGTCAGCCCCATTCCGCTGCAGAGAGGAGCACGAAGTCAGCCAATCACAGGCAACAGACAGATGGACACTGTGGCCACAGACAACAGTGCATAGAGATAGATACAGGAGGGAACAGGCATGTGGCTGAAGGATTTGTTTATGAGAAAGTTAGCTCTTAGCATCCCTTGCTCTAAGGTGAGAAACCCTTGCCTTAACAAAAATAAGGGGTCCCAGACAATGGGCATCATTTCCCCAGACCCACTGAAGACCCATGGAGTCCTGGTGTCGTGCTGTAGGATAAGCACTGGGCCACAAGGTCAGTGTGAACTGCAAGGTCAGCAGTTCAAACCCAGCAGCCACTCCTCAAGAACCCTATACAGGGTGGATATGAGTCGGAACCAACCCAACAGCACTTAACAACTGAGGACCTGGTGTGAGCAATCCTCCCACCATCTGGTCAGCAGCAGCTGCCACCAGTATTCACTCCAGAATACCTCCAGACCCAAAGACTTCTTCCTTCATGCCCGCCAGCAGGGTCCCATCAGCACCATAGCTGCGCCCAGTCACCACCTGACCTCCCAGCTCTGCCCTTGCTCTTCCTCAGTCTATTCCCCCCCAGCAGCTAGAAGACCTAAGTTCACGCATGTTCCTTGTTCAGAGCCGACAATGGTTTTCACCTCACTCAGAGCAAAACCCAAAATCCACTCTCCAGCCCAAAAGTCTTGCATGACCTATCCCATCATTGCCTTGCTTGTCTCCCCAGCTCCCCCTCACTGGCCTCCTAGCTCTTAGATGCTTCAAAGCCTTTGCACTGGCAGTTCCCTCTCCCGTGAGAACCGCATGACTCATGGGAGGCACCTCCTGTAAAGTTTCACTCGTGGGTTCCATTTCTTAGAAAGGCCTCCCTCAAGCACCTTTATTGAACAGCACCCCCTTCTCTTGCCATGTTAACACCCAGCCTTATTTTTCGCCATAGCAATTACTGCTACCTGACATACATGTCCCTTGGCTGCCTATTCAGTCCACACCTATCTCCTAGGATACAGGTGTGTCTGTGCAACTCCCCCCACTATGGACTGGGCATGTGCACCATCCTCCAGCCACAGCCTCTTATTCACCCCACCCCCAAGCCCTCTCACCATGAGGTTGGCATTGGCAATATGATGCTTGATCAGGCCTCCACCCAGGATGATCATTCCAGAGCGCTTGGCAAAGATGGCTTGTGTATTGATGAGCCTCAGGTCTGGGGGACAATGGGCTGTAGTCAGATCTGGGCCCACCAGGACTCTAACCATGCCCCCTCACAGTGGCCCCAGGACCTCACCTTCAACAATGTCCAGGACCAGGCCAGGGTTCTTGTAAGAATGGAAGAAGATCATGTCGCCCAGTGAGCCATCTGTGAGCGCTGGACTGAACACAGGAATGTGGTTCTGAGAAGGACAGGGATTAGAGAACAGAGAGGTAGGGGCAGCTTGGTTTCTCTCCCTAAGGCACCCCTTCCTCTTGCTGCATTGTAGGCAGGGTGTTTAACTTCTCTGGATCTCAATTTCCTCGACTGTAAAATGAGGATAATACCACCATCCTCAGATGAGGCAAAGATGAGAGATCCCACACAAAGTACTTAGATAATGCCGACAATGCCTAGCACATAAGTGATAGCGCTTGTTATTTTTCAGACTGCAAGACCTTGGAGCCTCTGGAATTGCTAAGTGTTGCCCCCAACTGCTTACTAGGACCGTACTTACACAGCTGTGTGAACTCTAAGACAAGTTACTTTATGGATGAAGCTCCCATCTATAGCATGGGGATGATCAAAATAGCAACACTGACATCCCAGGTGGCCATGAAGATGAAAAGCCTGGGAAGTGCTTGCTGCCCAGTGCCCACCGAGAGACACTCACCTTCTGGGCCCAGTAATACACTGACTCAGGATTGTTGATCTCCTTGCCAAGCCGGGCGATCATCTTGGATGGTGTCCACTTCACACCCTAGGAGGGAGCACTGGCTTCAGCCAGTTCCAATCTGACCTCCACCACGCCTACCCCAGAGGCTGCCCCAGCCCCACCTCGGTGTTCTGCTCTAGCACCATCTGGTCCAAAATGGGCATCAGCCAGTCTTCAAATTTGCAGTAATTGTCATTAGGCACCAATAGGTTCCCAATCCTGAAGACAGGAGAGTGACTGTCAAGATCTGGATCCCTTGGCCCAGCCTCTCTGCCCAGCACCACTCAGTTCTCCCCACCTGTTGATCCCATTCTCCCGGAGCTCCTTTCCCTTGAGGCTAAATTCGCCCAGGTATGTGGGTGCCAGGCATTTGATTAAATCCTCTTCCACGCCCCCAGCCGTGGTCACCAGGACATCCACCTGCAGCCAGATGACAGAAAGATAGACCAGAACTCTGTGCCCAGCAAGGCTCCAAACTCCCCAACCTCAACTAATGGCCCTTAGAGGGGAACTCTGCTGCAAAAGAAACTCACTTCTTACAACCGACCCATAGCTCCCGATCTCGTTCAAATAATCATTTTATTCCCCATTGCAACTCAAGCCAAAGTCACAACCCCAGAGAGTCCCTACCATGTTGTGCTGTACAAGGTAGCGGATGGTCTCACGGATTCCTGAACTTATGAGGTTGGACGTGTAGCCCAGAAAAATAGTGCAGCCGGTGAGCGGGCGGCGGCTCTGGGTCAGGTCTGCATGCTGGTCCTCCTCCTCCGACAAAGGTTCCAGTTTCTTCTCAATCTGTATGTAGGGGTCAAGTGAGCAGAGTTCTGTGCCCAAACCCTAGCTCATGGGTCTCAGATAAATTCCAGTCAGACTCTGCCCTGAGGACCAGCCCACTTAAAGGTTACAGAAAAATTTTCACCTGGCTCCAAGGAACGCCTTCTCTGCAAACCACCACCCCCTTCCCCGCCCATACCTCAGGTCACAGGCTGAGACTTTGCCGGTTCAGAAAACAATTTCTTTGCAGACCCCGTCTGTTCCCCAGCTGAGAAGTGCAAACCCAAATTCAGGCTCCTCTTTGGCTTAGTCTCCTCTTCTAGTCCCTCCCAACAGTGCTGCTCCTCCCAGAATACTAGCACCCTTGGCCTAAACCCGCCCTCTACCTAGATTCGGACTCCTGGGGTGGTGTCGTAGGATCAACACTGGACTGCGAACCACTAGGTCCACAATTCAAACCCACCCGCTGCTCCTTGGAAACTCTAGGAGTCTAACAGACTCGAAGGCACTTAACAACAACCTAGACTCAGGCTTTCCTGATTGGGGCCCTTCCCACTATAAGCCCCACCTGTCTCTATTCATTGGACCGTTCTACCGAAGGCCCGCCCCGTCAAAGTACTGCACCATTCTTACTAGAGGCCACGCCCCTCCCCGACAAAGGAAGTTCCACCCCAGGCCTCACCATTGCGTTCACTTGCTGCACTGCACGTCCGAAGTTGGTAGCCTGAAAGCCGGTGGTTCCGAAAGCCTCCATTAGCAAGTGGTAGTCTACGCCGCGGCTGAAGTCATAGCCCCGGACCTGTGCACTCTCGGGTGGTAGGGCTGAGCTGTGCTTTAGCACGGCTGCTAGTGCCCCCGCGGGCGCTTTCCCCTCCGAGGAGCCCTCCATGCGCCTCCGGCCGTACTCTCAAGCCTCAGCCGTACTCAGCCGGGTCTCCGGTAGCGTTAAAACACCAGACCCTGGCCCGGCGCAAGAAGCGGAGCTCAGGTAGAAACCGGCGGAGTAGGACCGGAAACTACTCCGTCTCCTAATTTGAAGGGCTAGGAGTACAGGGTGTGGCCATTTTTGCGAGCTACTCCGTAGTACGGCAGCCGCGAGGAGCCAATATACATATATTTTCGCTTTTTCTCAGCCTTTGATGAATGACTATTTCTACCTTTACTGCCACCTGCTGGAAACTCATCGCGTTGTGCGGCACTCCCCGAGTCCGTTTCTGTCCCCTCCAGGAAAGGGTAACTCTTAGACAGGATTTGGGTCACCACGCAGAGTCGGACACACATTCCTGACTGCTTTGGCTTCCCAGTGAGGTATAGCCTTTTGCTCTTCTTCCTTCCCTACTCTGTCCCCACGGAGCTGCGGCTGTAACTTCCTGGGATCCAGGACTGATATCTTCCCTCTTCCCTCCCCCAGCGAAACTATGAGACCTATGAGTTGTTAAGTGCCGTAGAGTCGGTCCCAACCCATAGCGACCTTATATAGGGTTTCCAAAGAATGGCTAGTGAGCTTGAATCACCGACCTTGCAGATCAAGCTGACTTTGCAGTTCAGCGCATTAACCCACAGCGCCAAACCAGGACTCCGAGACCTAAGAGGACAGGGTCTAAATCTCATGCATCCTCCTAACTGCGCAGGGCCTGGTCCAGAACGAGCCCCTTTATACACTCACTCTGCAGTGTTTGGCCTATGAAGGCCACACTATATGTTGGACCTCATGCTGGGCACTGCCATTTTATCAGTGAACAAGACACCTACAGCTCACAGTCTGGTGAGATAGAACAATATTGTTAGGAAAGGTCTCCAAGGGTGACATTTGATCCAAGATCCATCCGTCTGACAAAAGCCTTGCTATGTGAATGTGTGTGTGGTGGGGGTGGTTCCAGGAGAGAAATATCAGTTTGAGGTTATGATATTGGAAAGCCCACTTCATTGGAATAACAGAAATCCTCCTTTCCATCCTGAGGATTAAAAACTCACTCTCCACTTTCAGCTGATGAAATAAAATGCAGATAGGTCTCTTGTGATACAATAGTGAATAATTGTTATCAGGGCTGATTGTGAGGGTTGGAAATGTAAAGGTAGACGTTTTATAACAAGGAGGGGAGTGATTAACATTTCAGTCTAGGAGCGAGTGGAGGTCCCTGGGACCATCAGTGGAGAAGAGCGGAGAGCGGGACCCAGAGAAGCAGCAATGCCTGAGATGCTGAGACGGAGACAGAGACGATGACGTGGAGAGATGGAGCTGTTGGGAACTTTAGATCCAGAGAGGGAGAGGGGCTGTGTGCTGATGACCGACCAGGGGTGGGGGTGGTGGGGAGGGGGCAGGCTTGTAGTGTATACCCTTTGGTTGGTTGATGATGCATGGAAGATTGTAATCATGGCAATGAAAGATACATAATTGAATGAATGTAAAACTAATGCTCTCCCATGTAAACTATCACATAATTCACAATAAAACATTTTTAAAAACTCTCCACTTTCATTTCCTCTCCACCTAAACCTTCATGGCAATCATCTGCACCTCAACAAATGGCCCTACCCTGCCCCTTTCTTAACACTCAAGCCTTGAGCTTGATGTCTCTCCTCCTCTCACGCTCCCATCCATCCATCAGTACATCTGCTAAGCTCAATGCACAAAGTAGTTTCCAAATCCAGGCACTTTCTTTGTCCTGGCGACCTCCAAGCTGACTTTCCTCCCACCAGCAACCAAAAAACCCAGAGAGCTCTTCTGTAGAAATAAATTTAACAGTCGTTCGTCATTAAAACTTGCTAACAGTTGAAACCAACTTGTCGGCACTTAACAACGACTATATATATAAATGCTGAAGCAAGGTGAGGAGCTGACTCAATGGCATTTAACATATATATATATATATGTGTGTATATATATATAAAACAGTGGCAACCCTGTACAAGGTCACTATGAGTCAGAACCGACTCAATAGCACTTAATAACCTAGAGTTTCCTAGGAGTGGCTGTTGGATGTGAGCAGCCAACCTTATAGTTAGAAGTCCAGTGCTGATCCTACAGTGCCACACCAGGACTCCATGTGTGTATATATGTGTCCATTATTGTATGTATTTTACTGTCCTGTTACCCATCCCTCCCCATGGAGTCCTGGTGTGGCACTGTAGGATCAGCACTGGAATGCTAACTGCAAGGTCAGCGGTTCAGACCTACCAGCTGTGCTTTGAAACTACTGATCCAGCCCCCATGTCTGGCAGTCTCCAGTCCCACCCTCCCAGCTTCTTGTTCTCCACCAGGCAGTCAGTGGAAGGAAACGCTATGCAGGGTCCCTGTGAGTCAGAAGTGACTCAGTGGCACTTAACAACAACCAGCCATCCCCAGCTAGAACAGTCACTGTGAGGGCAGTTTTGTGTTGTTTCCTTGTTGCTCCTCACTCCTTGGACAGTGCCCAGCACTTATTAGGAGTTCAGCAAATAAGCTGAATGTATGAATGATCACAAGGGTGTCAGGGTGGTCGGTGAGGAATGAGGGAAGGAGCCATCAGGGAATTAACTCGAAGACCAGGCAGGCCCCTGTGTACTGAAGGGAGGTAACCTCTGACTCATAGTGACCCTGTATAGGGTCAAGTAGTTGGGGAAGGCAGGACTTGAGACGACCAGAGTTGAGGGCTGGACTAGGGTGGGATCAATAAGGGTGAAGAGAAGTGACCAGACTCAGAACCCAGTATGAAGGTTATCTGATAGCACTTAAAGGAAGACAGAATGAAGGACTTGGAGATTTGGGTTTGTACATCTGGATGCACCATGGTGAGCTTTCCTGGGGGGCAGAAATTTGGGGGAAGATAATCTGGACTTCCATTTTGGCAGAGTTAGGTTTGAGATGTTATCAAGAAGGAGTCTACTCTTGAGACTGGGATGGGGACAGAGGAAGCCATCAGCCTAAGGAAGTGGGTTAAATCCCGGTGGCTGTGAGTATAGGTAGGCAGAGGCAGAAGCAGGTTAGCAACAGATCCAAAGTGGCCAGGGCCTTTGCACTCTCAGTCAGAAGGGTTGGTCCCTTAGGGACCTGGTGACATGTGACACTAGAGCAGGGATCCCCTCAGCAGAGGCAGCTGCTGCCCGCTGGTGACATTTCACTCCATGAGCATCCTGGCTTCAAAGTCTCTGCAGGAGTGGAGGAGGGAGAGGAGGGGGTTGGAGAGACCAGGCTGCTATGGGAGGAGGGAATGAGCCAGAGCGGGGCTGGAGACAGAACAGGCAGCCAGGCAACTGCACACCGGAGTCCTCAGCTGAGGTACCAGGGATCAGGGACCAGAGGAGGTGCGGGGACCCCCAGGTGGCCCTAGGGCTCAGAGTCTGAGATTAGACCCTCTGCCCATGCCTCTGCTCACCCTCCCCCAGATGTCTAGCAAGGTGGCCATTGGCAATGACATTGGGCAGGCCCGTCGTGCCGTGGAGCAACTACGGATGGAGGCAGGCATCAATCGCGTGAAGGTGAGGACCAAGCAGGGAAAGAAGGTGGGGGTGAGGTGAGGGCACATGTGGGCTGAGGGGGTAGGTAAACAGCCAGGGCTGGCTGACTGGGTTGATCGGCAGGTGTCCAAGGCGGCTGCTGACCTGCTGCAGTTCTGCATGGAGCAGGCCAAGAGTGATCCCTTCCTTGTGGGCATTCCAGCCGCCACCAACCCTTTCAAGGAGAAGAAACCCTGTATCATCTTATGATTCTGCAGCGCTGCGACCCCAGGCTTTTCAATAAACATGAAGTGAATGTTCAGGACATGGCTGGGCTGGGCTGACATGGGGGCACAGGAGAAACTGTGGTCTTGCAGGGGCCAGGTGCACACTTGGCCCAGCCTCCCTCCCCACAACATCCGGGGTCACCACCACAGCAACACATACACGCTAGGCACCCTGAACAGAAGACCACACACTTTCCACACAGCACCCCCTGCACCTGTGGGATACCATGCATGGCTTTGCACCCCCACTGTGCTGACATAATCTGCTCATTGATAAATCTCACACATGTGTCACATTCCCCCACACAACTTTCACACACACGTACCCATGCTTGTGTCTCACACACCCAGAGGTGGTAACATAGAAACAACTGGCCAGTCCTCAGTTCTGTCTTCTTCACTCACACACTCACACACACACAGAGCCACTGCAACAAACAGGCAAACCTGCCTACCCAGTGACACACACACAAACACATGCGCTCACTAGTGTCATACATGAAACACACCCATGGAGGACACAAGTCCTGGAAACAAGCACTCATGCCTTTCATGCCCAGTCCTGCTCAGTCACACATGCCCCTACAGCATCGCAGTTCCAAGCACATGGAGTCCCAGGCTCACAGTAGCATCACATCAGGTTTATTTCTTCTTCCCTCTCAACTTCTCAGTGAAGAGCAGGGTGTCCAAATCAGAGCAAAGAGTCCAAGAGTGGGGAACAGTTCCCTGGTTGGGCCAGAACCCCAATGTCACCAGCACTGGCATGGAGGCCAGCCCAGGGACCCCAGTCCATCCACGGCCCGGACTCCTTGGTATCCTAGGCCTGAAGGGTTAGGGCAAAGGCAGCACCAACATGGGGGATGGTCTCCTGAGAACAGAGGCTGCGGCCAGCCTGCTAGCCATCAGTATCCACATCTGTCTGCTCAGGTCTGTAGCCGCCAGACTTCCAGTGACAGACCCCCAGAAGCCGCCACCACCAGGTTGCCCTCAGCACAGATCTGGGTTGGTAAGGACATCAGGAGTCAGGGGCGCTCTGGGCACCAGGACAGGGTGTGGGGAGCTGGTCTTACCCCATTGAGCACGTTGTGGTGGTTACGAGTGCAAATGGTCCTTGGTGGGTCTGTGGGCACATGCACCTGGTGAAGGGCAATGGGCAAAGGTCAAGAAGCCTGCTTTGGGATAAGGGGACAGGCTGTCCTTGAGGCAGGGGCTGGGCCTGGGCCTCACCCGGATAGTCTTGTCAGTGGATGTGGTGTACAAGGCCCCTAGCGAGTGTTTGATCCCTGTGATCTGAGACCTGTGGCCCACGTCGAAGGACTACAGGGTGGAAGGGACAAATGACACTAAGGTGCTGCTCTCCCAAGGCCAGCCCTCCACCACCACCCAGGGCCAGGGAGCCAGAAGGAGTCCCAGAGGCCCAGGGGCCCCTGGCAGACCCGGACAAGCTGGAAGCAGCCATCACGGTTGGCGAAGACATGCAGCAGGCCATGGTTGTCACCAGCCCAGAGCTGGGGCTCTTGGTAGGACATGCAGAGCAGGTAGGAGTCCAGCTGCAGGAGGGATGGGGGACAGAGCAGCTCAGGCTGGGCCCTGCCAGGCTGCCACCCCAGTCCCTTGGGGTCCCCGAGGAGGCTCCCACCTGCAGCCGCTGCAGGATACTGTTGGCTCGGCGGTCGAACACCACAAGCGTGTGGTCCTCACTGCCAGAGATGATGTGCCGGTCGTCGGCCAGCAGAGCCAGCACTGCACTGGAGTGAAGTCGCCGACTCTTCAGTAGGACTGGGCCAGCTGTAGGGGCCATATTCCAGGGAGGAGGGGACCCAGGGACATCAGAGCCCCTCAGAAGCCTGGCCCACCAAAGGTTCCTGCTCCTCTCAGGATAAAACTGAGCAAGGCAAGTCCTAGTGAAAAACACTTCTCTCTGCAGGCCTACAGGGACACACACCTCCATCTCCTGCCCCAGCTCTGCCTAAATAACCGATAGATCATCCAATTAAACACTAAGAATGAATAAATAAATAAGAAAGAGTACAAGACTTAGGTGCCAGGCAGTAATCTAGGCCTTTTATACATGCTAAATTATCTAATCCACCCATTAACCTGATAAAGTCAATGTTCTAATTATCTTTGTCTCCCCACTGACCCCACAGGGCTAATATTGTTGAACCGATTTTATAAGGAGCAAGGCTTCCTCTGTGGCCCCCCCCTCACACACACGCACACACATTGCATGTGTTGCCCCCATCAAAGCCCCAGGCAGCCCTAGTGGTTACCCAGGGTGATGTGTCTGTCACCCTGACCAGGTTGTAAGTCCCATGAATATCTCCTTTACGTGCATGATTCTGGAGACCCGAGGTGCCTTGCCCTCCCACCCAGGCCTACAGCCCCCAGCCCACCTCTGGGGTCGTAGACGGTCACCTTCTTGTCATAAGTACCCGTCACCAGGATGTCAGGCAGATAGGAGACGCACAACACAGCCGCCTTGCCCCTAGGGACACACAGACCACAGGGCTGGAGCTGGAGCCAGCCAAGACCCTGCCACCCCCCGGTCTCCCCTACACACAACCCCTCACACTTTATCTCGCCAAACTGTTGCCCATCAGCCGCCATGTCCCAAAGCTTCACAGTGCTGTCCCAGGAGCCGGAGCACACACGGTGGTCCTGGGCCGCCAGCGTCCATACCCAACCCTGTGGGACCAGAGCGCAGCAGTCAACCATGGGTGTCCGTTTCACGGGCTGTGTGTTGGTTCAGGGCTCCTTACAAGAGCTCAGCAAGAGGAAGGCTGTCTTTGCAGATGAGGCTCAGAGAGCTCAGCAGACTCTTCCAAAGCCACACAGCTTTTCACCCATATTACCCATTTTCACGGACTGCAGTACAACTCTAGTTCTAAATAATCATACCCATTGGTATACACATGACTACCCAGCAATATTTTGAAGTTGAGTCCTGAGACCACAACATAGTGTGATTAGCAGTGGCGTCTCCACTCTGGGACCAGGCAAGTCCCGTCCCCTCCCTCAGATTCTTCATCAGCAAATTGGGCCCTACCTCACAGAGCGTGGGATCCTGATTGAGTCCTCGCCAAGGCCCCTGAGGTGGGTATTGTGAGGTGGCCCATTTTACAAATAAAGAAACTGGGACATAGAGAGTTGAGTCTCTCATTCAAGGTCACACAGTCAGGGAGTTGAGTAGGGATTTGAGCCCAGTGCCTGGCCATCACATTGGTCCACTTCAGTGATTCGTGGATATGCCTTCTACGGCCACTTCTCACAAAATACAGTCATGCTCAGGGCTGTCTAATTCCTACGGGTGGTCTTCTCAGGGTACGAAGAAAAAAACAAAAAAACCAACGGCCAGAAAACATTGCTGTCAAGTGCATTCCGATCACATCAAGCCTACAGAGACTAGAGTGTAGCTGAGCTCCCTCCACAGGCTGTGACTTTTCAGAAATGGAGTAACAGGTCTTTCTTCCAAGGGGCCTGTGGGTAGATCTGAATTGCCAACTTTCACTTAGCAGCTGAGCACTTAACTGTTTGTGCCACCCAGGGGCTACTCCATCCTCATTCGTCCTCATAACTGCCCAGAGATCTCATACATCTCGCCCGAAGTCACATCAAGGGCAGAGCTGAGGTAGAAACCTGAACCACAGCAGCCTGCCACAAGCCTCATGCCTTCTTCCCTGCCTGATCTCTCACCTTGTGGGTACTGCTCTGCTGAGTACCCAGGGCCTTCACAAGAACCCGGCTGGGCTCCGTTCCCAGCTGCCGCAGGTCCCACAGGTTGACATTACGATCTCGGGAACCTGACAAGCAGAGAGCTCCATCCTGGGAGGAGAGTGAGGAGATGTCGTTGGGGACCCCCTGATCCCTCTCTGTCTGGCCCCCAGCTGGTCCCACCTCACCTGGAGCAGCAGCACTGAGTCAATAGAAGCAAAGTGCCCATCGGCCAGGCAGAAGTACTCAGTCCGACGCCCATCCTCCGCCCAGCGCGCCAGGTGTTGCTCCAGCTCAATGCAGGCAGCTGGCCAGTTGAAGTCCTCCTCTGTGGGGCACCAGGAGCTGGCCAATCCCACTCTTGACTCCAAGGAGCCACAGTAACACAGACTCTCACCTGAGTTCTTCACCCACACCACCTGGGAATCACTCACCCCTCAGGCACAACTAAGACAACTTTTCACTGCTGTTTACAAAAATTGTAAGGCTGGAGACTCAGGACCACCTTTATAGGCTTTCTCCTCCAACTTGAGACTGGGAAGAGGTAGCAGCCTCAGGACTAATGTTCCCATCTCAGTCTCTGAACTGGATCCAGGGAAGCGTTTCTCAAACTATTATCTGTGAATCAGGGTTTCCTGTCTAGATGCAGAATCCAGGCCCCAGGATGCAAGCAAGCATCTTTTTTTCCCGCCCCCTTTCAGTCGGTGGGTGGGGACTTTAAAAGATAATGGAATTTCTCCATGAACTTTTTGAAGACCACCCCTCTTGCATCAAGCTAGTCAAGAGAGTCTGACCCAGATATTCAGGAGGCAAGGCCTTGAGACTCCTCAACTCTGCAGGATCAAAGCTTCCAGGTTAGGACAATCAACCACCAATCTAACTACTCAGAAGGGTCAACAGCCTGAGGATCCAAAGGGTCACTGTCTCAGGACCAACAATATGAATTCAAGGTCCCCAAGCTGTCTTACCCCCAGGGACTCATGGCTTCTGGGGCAGGGGGAGTGCCCACCAGCCCCTGACTAAGACTTCAAGCTTAGATCCAGGGCTTGAGGGCCTGTGGGTGCTGATCTCAGGGATCCCAACCCCTAAACCCTCTTCTAGACACTGAGTCCCTGCCTCATCCCCACCTAGGTCAAGGCTCTGGAGATCAGAGGCTTTGGCATCACCAGTTGCCAAAGCCTCTAAACCTGATGATTCTTGGGCTTATCTTGAATGCCAAGCATACATTCCCACAGCCTGAGACTTCAAATCCCTGTGTCAATTTGCAGCTGGGTTCAGGGTTTTGGTATCTACAGACCTAAAGCCTGAGGACCAGGCACCAGAATGCTGAGGTCAGCTACCCCAACCCCCAAGTATTTGCCTCATGGTACCTCAAGATATAGGTAGGGACTTTAGCACCATCAGTAACTATCTCAGCCTCTAGCCAAAGTTAGAACAACCACGAAGCCTGCTCCCGGAGCTGTGACCCCAACAAATCAGGTTCCTGTATCTTCCCTCCCTCACACCAAACCTGACCTGGGCTGCATCCCCGGTCCCCGGGCAAGCGCACCTTCCACCACTGGGTAGGGCGCGCGTAAGCGGCGCTGTGCGCGTAGCCTCCAGGTGACATGGTCACGCACAATATCGCGCAGCGCGTGGCATACGCGTGGCAGGACCTGAAGTACGAGGCGGGCGTCCAGGTAGGCGCAGATCTCCAGCAGCAGCTCCGGGGGGAGGCTCAGCAGGCCCGGGGCACCTACGGCCGAAGCCTTGGACGCCACTCGTGGCTCCAAGACGCCAGGGAACGCGGCGGGCACGGGCAGTGGCATGGCGGGGCGGGACTCGAGCCCGGGTTTCGGCGGACTGAGCACACGGGCCACGTAAGCCTCGGCTTGTGCATCGGGGTCAGGCTCTGGGTCCAGGTCGTACTCCCAGGCTGCAGGATCATCACACTGCCCTGGAGACAGCTCCATGGCGGTTCGGTGGGCGCGGTCGGCCCGCCCTTGTCAGCTACCCGCCCAGCGTCCTGTCTCCTAGGCAGCGTTGAAGGCACTTCCTGCATATCCTGATGACGTTTACGGAGCGACCGAAATCGAGGGGTTCCCATGGAAACTGACTTACTCGCCTAGGACCGCATGCTGCAGGAGTCTCGCTCCGGAGCTGTGTGGACCTGATGTACAGAATCCTCATTTTAGAATTTTTTAAAACAAACGTAGCTCAGTCGAAGGCATTTCTTACAGGAGACAGTTCAGAAAAGGGGCAAGGCGTTTTCGAGATCGCATTCTGGTACAGAGTACTGATTCGAAATTTGTTCTCTCACTTCCAGAACCAGGAACTTCACACTTCACACAGGCCTCAGTGAAATATTGTGAATGGCCTAAAATCATACCGATAAAAACATCTCGTTTTTAATGAAAGCCTATTTGGAGCCAATGTTTACAGAGCCACAGAAATCACTAACAACATCACGTGCTGTTTGTTACCTTGGCCTGACTTTTTCAGACAGTCACGTGATTCTTTCCCAGATTGCAATGTTTCCCCTCTGTATTTCTCTATAGTACTTAACACTGTGTAAGGAGCTCTGGTAGCGTAGTGGTTATGAGTCGGGCTGCCAACCTCAAGGTTGTTGTTGTTGTTGTCAGGTGTCATCGAGTCGGAACCGACTTATAGCGACCCCCATGCACAGCAGAACGAAACAATGTCCGATCCTACGGCTGCTACACTTGACGCCATCAAGGATGCCACCTGGCCAATCCATCTCGTTAGGGGTCTTCCTCTTTTTCTCTGACCCTCCACCTTACCCAGCATGACATCCTTCTCCAGCGACT